ACAAGCCATGTTGTTGCAACATTTTCTCCGTAGTAAGACCAATGAAATCTAATGAGACTGCAGCAGACAACAAATCGCCTTATTATCGCCGGACAATGGCCAAGAGGGGAAGACCAACATTCAGAAGCCAGAACCACAAGAAAACTCATAAAAGTAGCTAAAGCACAGACAAATAAAAGGATCGCATAAAACTAATGTTAAACAATTCCCTTCTTCCCCTGTTTGTGTCCTTTGTCTGCAGTTTTCTGTTTGCGTGAGTTTCTGTTTGGTTCGTTTCGGTACGGTTGGGTTTCATTCGGTAGCTTTCGGGTCTTTCATCGCCCATCGTCATCGCCGGACCCTTAAGACAATGATGGCTGGCCCAAAGCCCACGAGGATATGCAATAAAATTGCGTTTTAATGCTGCTCCAACGGACGAGAAACGACCATTTACCAAGCTGGCCAAGTGCTTGTCTTCATGCGAGTCAAGACATTCTCATACTCAGGAAATGAATACTTGTGACGCAAATACAAAACAAATCTTAATCATAAACATATGATCATTTCTATAGAATAAGAATCTCACGTTATTCACATTAGTAAGAACTTAAAAAATAAAATCAGTTTTTAATTTTAACTCAAGAAGTGAAGGTTGGGTTATTCTTTATAAGGAAAACCCCGTTTACTTTTATTGGTTCCTTAATGCTAAAAAAAAATACAAATCAATTATTTAAAAAACATTTTAGATTTAATAAAAATAAAGTACAAGGCATTAAAATAAATTTAGCTTGATAAATAATGTAGTAGATGTTTCGTAAAAGTTTCAAAATACACCAAAAACGCAATTTCTCATTTAACAAGAATAACAGAACTATGGTCTCTAGAAATCCTCAGCTTTCAATAGGACTTCCTTAGAAATAAACATCTCCAGATGAAGAACTTTCCGTTGGCCTTAGTTCGTCATTCAATATTCATATTAGCCGAGGGTATAAAACTGTCCCCTTTGTTTCAATTTTATTGCTTGCTTTTTATGTTCGCCTGTTTGTTTGTCCTTCGCATTGTTTTACGGCATTTTATTTGCATATTTTCGCGTGTTGCTCACTCCGAACACGTATAAAAGACTTTTATGAGTTTGTCGATTCTCCGTGAAATGCAAAAGGAGGCAAGTGGAAAAGCGTTGCACTCCCCACGGGCTGCAGGGAAACTTTGGCTTTCAGCTTTCCACGTTCAGCGAATTATTTGACGGGGCACAAAATATATGGAAAATACACAAAAAAAGAAGGGAAGCAAAGCCAAAACGCAAACGAAAAAGTGTAAAACCATTCTCAAGTGTTTCACGCTTTAAGCCTTGCGCCTTTTCCTTGTTTGTTTTGTGAGTGTGAGTGTTGTTTGCCGTGCGTTTGGTGTTTTGAGCTCGACCTTTATGTGTATGAAGCTCGGAGCATAATTTCGACACAAAGAACACAGTCGGAGTTCCCACGCCCGGCGGTTTCCTTTGTGATTCAATCATTTTTTTGCAACTGATTCAATTAACTTAAACATTTCATGCTGTATTTTGTTGTACTAGGCACAGCGAAATTGCACTTTCCCTCGGGGAAAAAGAGATGGAACAATTGCAGGCCAGTGTATGGGTGCATTGTGCGTGGAATTGATGGATTCGGTTGGATAATGGATAAACCACTGATAAACGGAAGTCCGAAGCAGCGGCATCCAATTATATTTAATTCCTAAAGGCAAACAAATGACAAATTGAATTAATAGCATTTATATGCGCTTTGGAATTGTTAAGCAATGTTATATTGCTTATTGGAATTAATCACACCAGGGAAAAAAAAAATTGACCAGAGATTATAATAATTCATTATTTTTGTCTCTTTATTATAAATACGAGGTGTGTTCAAAAAGTAAGGTGACTTTTCAAATTTCGCGGGCAACATATTTTCGATTATCGATTTTTTTGTTTTGTTATATTGGTACACTCTTCCCTAACATCTGTACCAAGTTTCAATGGAACATCCTCTTTTGTTTGGTTGTGAGAGGCGTAAAGTTACAAGTTATTTTGCGAGCTCGGCGATTTTTTGCTTTTTTCGGTCTTGGCTCGCCTGGGCTCTTCCATTGGGACGATTGGGCTTTGGTTTCGATATCATAACCATATACCCATGATTCGTCACCAGTTATGACCCTTTTGAGTAAATCTGGGTCGTCGTTGACGTCATTCAACAGCTCTTGAGCGATGCTCATGCGACGGTTCTTTTGGTCAAAATTCAGCAATTTCGGAACAAACTTCGCTGACACACGACTCATACCCAAAACGTTTGAAAAATTTCATGGCACGAGCCAAGCGATATACCGACATCTTCAGCAACTTCTCTGATAGTGATTCGACGATTTTCCAAAACAATTTTCGTCACTGCTTAAACGTTTTCATCAGTTGTTGACGTGCTTGGGCGTCCAGAGCGAGGCTGGTCATTGGCATCTTCCCGGCCATCTTGGAAGAGTTTGTACCACTTGTACACATTTTTTTTACTCAGAACAGTTTCACCGTATGCCACTGTCAACATTTCAAGTGTTTCAGAGCACTTAATTTTATTTTTTACACAAAATTTGATGCAAATCCTTTGATCCATATTTTTCGATAGCAAAAAATCGCCGAGCTCGCAAAAGAACTTGTAACTTTACGCCTCTCACAACCAAACAAAAGAGGATGTTCCATTGAAACTTGGTACAGATGTTAGGGAAGAGTGTACCAATATAACAAAACAAAAAAATCGATAATCGAAAATATGTTGCCCGCGAAATTTGAAAAGTCACCTTACTTTTTGAACACACCTCGTATACTGTCATTTGTTATAATTGCGTTTGCTTTAGCTTAAAGCTCGATTTTCTATACAGGTCGCTGACTGTATTTAATGCTTCCGCAAAACATAAAGCTAATAGGCGGATATTTATCAGGCATCAAAAGCAAAAATATTAGCATATAGAAATGACCATAGGTTTTTGCTTTCTACCCATAAATATTTTGAAGCCTTTTTATCGATAGTAGTTGAAAACTAGACTATTTAAACGCACAATAGAGTGAGTTAAAAAAATTGTTTTAATATATTTTAAGGCTTAAACAAAATTTGAGCACACTGATAATCAAATTAAAAAAATGCAAATACATTTTTGGTTTGCCCTGTGTTTAACAAGAAATGAAAAAGAAAATTCGTTTGATTTGTGTACGAAATAAAATAAAAACCAAAACACTGTATAAAAATAAAGTAAGAAAAACGAATTTTATGGAATTCACCAGTTAAACGAATGAACATTTGTACTTCGAACGAAAAACGTGAACAAAAATATAAAATAATTGTGTAATAAAAGCGCATATATGTATAAATATATGTGCAACATAAATCTCAATCAAAAATGCAGTTCACAGACCCATAAAAAAGTAACAATAACCCTATCAGACACCTAAAGTCCAGCAAACTAGTTGGTGGCATTTTAGCGCTCCCATAGATACATAGATACAAATGTATCTTTAGCGGCGGTATGTAAATAGTCCCCCAGCCGAAAAAAACTGAATAGAACAGAAACTGCAGCTAAAGCGATCTAAACTCAGCCCAGCACGCAATCGCATGAATCTGGGCAACTAATCAGCGTTTGTACCTAATAAGCCGCCGGTGGCTGATGACGCGATGATGATGATGGGATGATGATGATGATGCTGCATGATATGTGCGGATTATGTGGATAGTATATAGTGAATAGTGAGTGTATAGTGTACGGTGTGTGTTTGGGTTAAGTGTGATAAATCGACAGTTGAATTAAGCGACATGTGGGCGACTGGGAGAGAATGCGAGAAATTGTGCGGCTGCGAATCAAGCGAAATATTTACACACACCCGAATTAAGCGCACTCACGCACTCGGGCAAACAATAATGGAAAGAGATGAAAAAAGATATGCCCGTGCACTGAAAAAAGAAACATAACTGATGACATCCTAGCAATTTAAATATACAAGCGAATGTGTATCAACGATCTGTGGTAGCCCTGTATAACATTTAAGTTATTAAAAAAAATCTAGGTATCTTGAAAAATGATTGGCAAAGAAAGTTTTCTTAGTCTAAGACTTGTTTTCTTTGAAAAAATATGCCTTTCCTAAAATATGTTTATACTTCAAATGTCCATCATTGTAACATGCAAAAGGCTTAGCATTAGATTTTAGGAAGATGTTTAAATTGTTAGTGATGATTTGAAATGTAGCTCTTACATACTTGCTTTTCCTGTTTTAAATACAATAAAAAGTCTCGCAAGCAACATTCATATGTTATTTTTGTTTTTTTCTGTGTGGCTTCGAGTGAAAGAATAAAGTAAAAGTGTCTTTTCATCAGAATTTTAAATGTGCTCGCCCTCGAAGTGAGTTGCCAAAAAGTGTGTATAAGTTTGTGTATGAGAGTGGGTACAGGTGTGCGCGTGAGCCGACCGAGCGGAAGTTATGGAGCCTACGTGCCCCACAAAAAAAAAAAACACAAAAAAATAATTTCGCTTTCGTTTGAAAGAATGGGGGTGGAGCAAGCGGTCGGACATTGAGGCAGCGCCACTCGATAAACCACCAATACCAGTGACCAGGTCCTCGTATGTAAACAGACAAATTATGAATTTGTAAGACTCTCTCCCTTTTCCCGGGTATCCTGTTTTGTCTCCTCATTTTTCTCTTTTTGCGTGTGTGTGTCCGCTGAAGACTTTACGGATCACGGAGCTCATCAAAAATCGTTAAATGCTTAAAACGAACAAGAAATTTCACAACCAAAACAATACAATTGAGGGGGGATTTATGTTACAATTTGTTATATTTTAATAAAACCAATTATTGATTATTATTATTTCTGGTAAAAAGGTATAATTACAGAAATTTATTTTCTGGGTGTAATCCTTACTTGTCACAATTTATTACAACATATGGTTAAGTTACAAACCAATTAAATTAAATCTTATTGGAAAGGCCTTTTTTTTATTTCTAAGGGTTAAGGACTCACCTTTTTGTGCGCTGAAAATGCTGCCCTCGGCCGCTCACTACATATCACTGTTTATGTTTGTTGTTTATTTAAATCTTCTCGGATTCCGCGATTTACTAACTTTCCAAACTGCAAATAAAATGGGAATGGGGACTGCTTGCATTTAATTCTCGATTTTTGCACCAAAACTTCACTTTATCACACACAACAATTCTGGCTAATGAATATCCAACACTGGCCGTGTTATGCCATATGCATGCAGTGTATGTGTGAGCTTGTTTGAGAGCTGGCTTAAAGACCGAAAGATATGGGGGATGGGGGTTTACCCTTTGTAAATGAATAGTTTGCCTTTGGGTTTACTTTGTGCCGTTGTCTCCTTTTTGTCTTGCCTATTTTTGCTGATTTTCTTTCTGCTTTATTTTGCGCACTGAATTGAAAACGATAGTGGCGTAGTCCGCTCGATCCGCTAGGCTCGAAAAATGTATGTCAGCCGCTCAAAACACGACGATGTCTCTAGCTAAACTGAAGCCAAACGGCATCGCAATGCGTACTTTAAACTGTTCGAAAGACACGCACACACACACGCTTAGCGCGGAAAAACGGACAAGGCTTTTCCGCTCTCTCTCTCTCCCAAATAGCTTTTCTCACCTCTCTCTTTATTTTTGGGCAAAAGCTTGCGCTTGTTTTTGTTCGCAATCAAAATCGGAAACTTTCGCCTGCGACACTTTGCCGCATTTGTTGTTGCTCTGGCCAACCGTACTAAATTTCATTATCTCGAGTGGACGCTTTGTTTATTTATTCGAGAGGCTCTTCATTAAATAAATGTTGTTGTTCTTAATTGCCTACGTAACATGGCATTAAATAAATTAATGTTGCTTGATAACAGCTTAAGAAATTTGTTGTATATTTTAAATTCAATTCCTGTGGTTTGTTTTTATAAAACAACCGAAAATCGATCGCACACGTTTAAAGTCAGTATCACACACACATAATCAGCCAGCTCTCTCTCTCTCTCTCTCGCTTTCTCTAACACACACACACACACATAAAGAGGCTGCAGCTGTTTGAGCCGCAAGCTATGCTACACATTTTTGGACAGATTTAAAAACACTTTTTAAACCGATTTAAATCTTTTATGTTCTATATTTTACAATGTATCGAAGTTATTTATTAATTTGTATTATATATATATATTTTACATATTTCTTTTCTGTCTCAACCGGAACAAAATCGGAACCAGCGTGACCGACGACTCGCAGCAGAATGCGGAGAATCGGAAAATCGGAGAAAACAGCAGCCGACCACAACAACAGCTGCAAAAGCGGCGTCGGCGACCGGGATGAAAAACTTTTGGCCACGCTCACACACACACCTTTATATCTTATACGGAGGCCTACATATTATAGGAAATTTGATATGAAAACATTGACAAGCAGCCGCATAAAGCTTTTAGCCTTCAGCTGTGTGCACACAGTTGTTGTTAGTAACGAGGGTGTATAACAGTTTAGCATTTTCGGCTGGTGGAAATTCTTCTTGCGGCAGAAGCTTTTCCGAAAACGAAGCTGAGGTTGGGAAAGTTTTTATTCTTAGCGTCGATTGATTGCTGGCCGGGAAACGGAATGCGGCAATGGGTAAGATAAACACTAAAAGGCATAAACGGAATGGCTAAACATTTGACTGATAAATTCTAGTGATAAGGGTATTCACAGTGTGGCACAATTTAAATCGATTTTTATTTGCTTTTTTATTTTAACTTTTCTTTTTTTATGTAACAATAACTAGATTAAATTCTTAATAAGTTAAATATTAAAAATTAAATATTTGCCACAATAATGTTCTCTTAATTCAAATATTTGATAGATTGACAAGTATATTACATATATATGTGAAGGAATAAACTTTTTATACCCGTTACTCGTAGAGTAAAAGGGTATATTGTATTCGTGCAAAAGTATATATTCGCGCAAGTTTGTTTCAAAAAGGTGCCACGCCCCCTTTAACGCCCACAATCGCTTAGATACGATTTTAAAAATTTAAATATTTCGGAAAAGTAAAAATGCAGTTTTATTGTGTTTATCAATACCTATCGAAATGTAGAAGAAATTTTTCAAATCGGACCATTCGTTAAAAAGTTATGCGTGATCAAAGTTTCTATCTCCATCTCCCTCGCACTCCCATTACCTGAGTAACGGGTATCTGATAGTCGGGGCACCCGACTATAGCGTTCTCTCTTGTTAATCCTAAGTTATTTTATATCTTTAACTTATGAAACCAGATTGGCATTAAAGAATTTGTAAAAATTTTTTTTACAGTTAAAAATAATAATAAGTATAATAATATAATATAAGTATTATTTTTTGTTTTAATTTTTTGTTTGATGACATCTGATTGGCGGAGTAAAACGCATACTGTTGCATTTAATCAAATAACTTTTTTCATTTATATGAATTAAAACCAAAACCTAATATATCGAAAGGGAGGATTTCTGATTTCACCTTAAAATGTGTTGCCTTACTATGTATACCTATGCGTGTATATAATCGGTAATGTAAACTTAAATGTTTTTCTTTAAATCTCTGATACTTAAATCTTTACACCAAATCATATTTTTTCCCACGGATTTATTAATTGTAAAGTATTCAAATTTTTAAAAAACGTCTCTCATATACAAAACTTATAAATCGGCCCTCGTCAAGAAAAGCTTTTTTTGCGAGCTTTTTCACTCTAAACTCTGCAGCGGAGTGTGACAGGTGACAACCCTGCCTGCAGCTAGGCATGCAACTTGTTGCGCCGGTTTTCGATTCTCAGTCTTCATTCCATTCTCGAATCCCCCGGACGTCGACCTCCGATCTTCAACTTGGTTTGTTATTGTTTGCTTTAGCTCTTTGGCATTATTCTGCTAAGTGACTTTCGATCTTACGTGGGTGCGCGGTAAAAAGTATTTATAAAGTATTTACGCATTGTTTGGCGTACTCTGATTATTTGGCATAAGCTTCATGTTCGTGCTGATTATTTCGAATTTCTCCGAGTGTTAATTGTGCCGACCGGTTTGTCGACGATCTGCAATTGTTTTTATGATGACTTAAGACGGGGGATGACTTAAAACGACACACCCTCAAGTATAGTACATACTAGCAGTGCGATTTGCATAATGACGACATTTGTTTTGAGAGGACTGTAATCAGCACTTGATCATGGAATTCGACTTGAAATCTACGATCGAGGTCTCGGCCTTACACTTCGCCAGCTGCCTTTTTTGGGGATAATCAGTTTTGACGTCAGTGCTTCTAAATTCAGCTCAAAACCAAACCAAATCGGTCGTTCGAATGTTTGTCACGAACTCAAAAGTGAAACCTAAATGCAGAAGAAAGCCATTCAAATGCAGTTTTAGGGGGAAAACCTGGGTAAATGCATATTTAAATATCTACAGAAAGTTGCATTTTACTTATTAGAGAAAGCAATTTTTTTTTTAGTTTCATACGCGCGAAATATATATTTTTTTACATCTATCACACTTTTGCAAATATTTTGAGGATTTCAATTACTCGAAACGCGAATGAATAAAGTAAAAGCTTTTTCTAAATTCAGACACAAATGGGGCTTATTAAATGATTTACTTACTTAAATAGCTGTGACATTTACTATCTTAATTTGGGACATTGACAAAGTGATATTAAAAATGGGTTTTAAAAATAGCAGTGACGTTTCAAAAGCTCTTTTTCTTATAGAAAAACAATTTTAGCTCAACATAAAATATTATTATTTTTGAAGGTTAATAAAAAAATATTTTAGTGGATAGATAACAAAAAACAATTCTTTACTTAAATTAATAACATGTGTTTTTCATTAAGAAATCAACGGAATCCATCAAGTGTTTTCCCTGTACGACTGTTCTTTCCGAAGTCGACAAATTTTAATGGCATCTGCTCTATTTAGGCAGCGCCTGATAAGCTTCGTTTTGTGGGCACCTACTAAACAAGATCCCTTGTATTTATCTTATCGCACAGCTGGAATCACTCTGAACAAACAACACCACTCATCACGATGCCCAATCCTCTGTGGTTCATCTTCTGGCTGCTGGTCTTCTGGTTCGTCTCCTTCTTCGTGGCATTCTTCTGCGCCTTCTGCTACATTTGGGTCTACGCCTTCGCCTCCTGCATTCCCGCTCTCACGGTAAGTGGATATTTGGTTGTAGTTTAGACCGGGAATGAGTCAAAGCCATTACCTGTTAGATGCATGAGGCACTTTCGTTATCGGGCCGCGTAGATATTTAACCAATTAGTCATTCCGGCGACTTATCAGAAACACAACCAGGGCTTATAAGTACCGCCGGTATCTGGCCCCGATTTCTGCACTACCCACACCCCAGAAAAACACAGCTAACCGATTTGTTTCGTTTCCATTCGCAGGGCATATCTGACGTTCTGCTTCAGGGCGTGCAGTTTCCGTTCTACTGCGGAAAGGCCATGCTGGAGGGCAAACCGGCCTTCTAGGAGGAATCCCCCATTATATCTACGTACTTAGTGCCTTACTACTGATAACTCTTGTTTTCGATCATTTTTACACAATAAAGATTTATTAACTTATATTTATAAATGATTCTACTTTTTACTTCATTTATTTTGGCACGTTGACTGATCACCAAATTGTGCCCTCCTTACAAATGTATTTTACAAGTGGGAAATTCCAGTGATAAAAAGATAAGTATGGGCATAACACCTTTTAAACATTTGATAAAATTGTTATCTTAATTTTTGTTCATTTATGTTCAGTTTTCATTTATCGCATAATCAGGGCTAATAAATTCGTTGTTTCTAAGTGATATACTTATCTTAAAGTCGTGAATTCAGTGAAAGTATGTTTTCAATGCTGTTTAATATAAATATCAGACCGATAGAAAAGAATACAAATATATATTTAAATATTAAATTGTTATGCATTTATCCTCCAAAAAAGACATTCCAAAACATACCTTGAAATTAAATGAAATATCTCTTTTAAAAATTAACAAGACTTCGGAGAATTTTTTATTGAATGTTTTTATTCGTCCAGAAATAATACAAATTAACAAATTGTTTTATTATATAATAATCAGAATTTCTTTTTCCTTAAGTTTCTTTAACATTATTTTATAAGAAAACTTCGCTAGCTAAAAAACAAAATCCCTATAACTACAACAACTAATAAATAAATTTATTAAAGAAAATCAGTTAACAAATTTAAATGAAAGCACTAGACATTCCAATTTGCCAACTTGAGCCTGATTAGGAGCCGCTTGCCGATTCCGTTTGAGTTTACTTGGTGGTTGAGGCCACCGTAGCATTCTGCTGACCACTGCCCGGCGCATCGGTTACTCCTGCTGCTGAGCTGCCGGCGAGATCGATACCCTGATGTCCGGGTACTGATGATGACTGAGCAGACGCCTCCTGCTCGGCTAAAGCGCGCAGTTCCAGCTCCCCGATGAGCTGCATTACCCGGATCTTGCCTTCGGTGGCCAGTTTGGGCGGCAGGCTTTTGACGGTGGCGCATATGCTGTCGAAAAATAGCTCCAGGGAGTCACGCGGCGGTATTATAGGCGACACTGGCTGCAGCTGGTAGGATTGCAGCTGGCGGGCGGCATAGGAGGGCGTGGTGTGGATGGGCGTGATGGTGGCCTTCGAGCTGATTTCCTGTCCCTGACACACTGCATTGGGTGGAGTAGTGGGCGCGGACACTTTCTTAATGGTGATCCTGCAGGGCGGAGCTGCTGTTGCTGCCGTGGAGGAGGAGGTGGGAAAGGAGGAACCAGCGGTCGTAGAGCTCGGGGGCAGCTCGTTGATGGTCACGTGGAGAGGCAGATAGTCAAGCATTCCGGAATGCTGCGAGTCCGTCTCCGAGATGCGGCGCTGCTGCTTAGAGGCGGGCTCCGTTTCGAAATCGTTAAGGGTTTCTAGAGCCTCTGCCTTAACTTCGTCCTCCTCGGCTTCCTCACAATCCTCCTCGGTTTCGTCCAGTTCGCCCTCCTCCTCCTCTGTTTCGTCATCGGCGGCATCTGCGCCGTACGGCAGCAGGCCCTCCTCGTACTCGTTGTACTCCCATTTCATCACACTGGAACCGGATCCCTCCGCTTCCGGATGATTTGCCTTGGCAGGCAGGGCCTTCCTCTGCGCATTTTCCGAGTGTTTTATGCTGCCCTCGTGCTTTCCCAGATCCGATCTTTTGCAGCTGAGTCTGCACTCGCACACCGCGCAGAACACGAAGTGCGGATCCGTTTCGTCTGGAAGCAACCACGGATATATCGCCTGGTATTCCGGCTTCGTTTTGGGGCGCGGGTATTTCAGCAGGGCGCACGGCCGGCGTGGCCTGTATTCAGAGCGTAGGGCATCTCTGCCAGAAAATAGGGTTATTAATTAATAATTCCAGGTCTGATGCTTCTGTATACTCACAGTTTTTCCTGAGTTAACTGGAGGTTTGCCATTTGGGCAGTCCTTATATTTTCCAAAATATAAACAAATTTAAGTACTGTATGACCGTACTGCAATAGCACCGCAACACCACAATAAGTGAATTCGCTCTTGCAATTAGAGACGTCTCTCTTATCAAATAAATATTTAAATTAGTAGTCTCATAAAATTTTGATTTCTTCACTTATCAATTTTATGAAAACTTAAACACATTTATATGTTGGACTTACAGGAAGTGTGGCTGCTGAATTATGATTTACGAATGTTGTGCATAATGCTGTAAGTTCGATGGTGCAAAATTTATTAATAAGAAAAATAGATTTATATGATATTCAACTTTGGGCTCCAATTATTTTAGCAATATTAATTATTAAGAAAAATAAATATAATTTGATATACAATTTTTGGGGCTAATTACGACACCTCCAGGCCGATTAATTTTAAGACTGTTTAATATATCATGGGCGTTCAGCAAAACTAACTTGATCACGTATTACTAAACATCAGTGATCAGTAATCATGTAGTTCTGCCTGTGTATTAACGCCGTTCTGGTATTTTTTGCTTTTCTAGTATGCATGTATTCCTCTGCCCGCCGGTTTAATGCAACAGTAACGGTCACACTGGTCGTAGTCTCGACTGCAAATTCGAGTTTACTTTACTTGCAATTTTCGCTTTTTGTTTTAAAATAATCACGCATGCTGTGATTGTGCGACAGCTGGCAGAGAAATCAGCACAGTGCCTAGATAACAAGTGATCTGGAGCACGTGGCGATGGATCAGGATAATAGCGCAGAGGGACAAAATTTGGACGGGTCGACCGACGCCGGTCTCAAAATGGCGTCCGCGAATTCCGAGTCGTTGGCGTCGGCGACACACGAGCTGAAAATTATGGATGTGGAGGGAGGAGCGGTGGTGGCGGCGGATCCCGTCGAGGAAACGGAGGTCCCCATGGTCATCCTGGTGGACGACGACGAGGTGGAGGGCGATATGGAGGTGGACGAGGAGGAGCAGCCGCTGCCAGATAACGCAGGCATGGAGGACATTATGGACGACGACCATGCTCCACTGGTGGCCGAACTGCAGTCCGCTCTGAACAATCCAGATGACAAGCCCACCAGCGAGGATCCCCTCCTAGATGATCATGACCGCGATCCGGACACCGTGTCCACCAAAACCGAACCCTCCAGCGATGCGGAGAGCAACCACTCGTACCACGATCCGATGGGCCTGCTGGAGCGCATCGAGAACCAGGAGGCGGGAGACAGCCAGGACGAGGACGACGACTTCAGCGTGGACGATGGCAGCACCGGCGGCGCCAATGGCGGTTCCACGCGCCGGAAAATGCCCCGAGCGCAGCGATGGCTAATCTGGATGAAGCGCTGGCCCTGGATCCTCCACGAGGCCTCCGACGGGCCCTTCGCCTTCTGCCTTTATTGCAACATGAACATCAACGTGAACAACCGCTCCCGGCACATCCAGCAGCACAACATGTCGCTGTACCACCAGGAACGCGAGTGCAACTACCTGGCCTTTAAGAAAAGCGAGGAGCAGACGCGGGGAACGTGAGTACTAGCTCTAATAATAATATTACCTAATTCTAAGTTTGTCAAGAGGATTTTCAATCTTTTGGTCAGAGGTTAAATAAGAGTGCAACCTGTTGATATTATAATTATATGCAGAACTCAATCAAGTTATGTATGTCTAAAAGCGTTTTGAGTTTGGAAAAGAATTTGTACACCCTCTGATAAGTAGCCTCTTTGAACCAAGTTTCTGAACTATAAGCTAAACCAAAAAAAATATTTCCCACTCCTAAGCCCATGCACTTGAAAATCTCAATTTTAAGATCAAATTATACACAGCGTTTCACATTGACATTGTGAGTTTTTAATATTTTCCTACATGAAAGTTAATACCTAGAGATTGTCGACAAACTTCTTTGTGGAACATTTTATTGCTGTTTCTTACTATCGTGTATGTATGCGATGGTGGCTCTTTTGAACTTCTACATTTCAAAAAATCCAATTGGATTCCAAAAAATTCATGATATTGTGAAAACCTAGTATCAAGATGGTAAGATGCTGTGACGCCATCGAGTATAGTTGGTTCAATAAAAAAATGTATTTAACCAGTTCTAACCGGACTAATTGTTAAGCAGTTTACTTATCTTATTTGTTTGAAAGAAATGAGCTATGGCTCACATTTCAGTTTTAGATAATGGTTTTCATTTTCCATAAGTTAGTTAATATCTTGTGAGCACTCACAGATTAATAAAATCAGCTTTGTTCTAAAATTCTCAAGTTTGTATCACAAAAACAATTAAAACAATTAATTACTGTAAATAATTAAGAATATATTAAACATTCCAAGACTCCTAAGAGTTTTAACACTTATCCAAAAACAAGAAAGGAAGCAAACTTCTGCAAACCGAAGCTTATATACCCTTGCAGTTGTTACAAATCGACTACATTTCGATTTCTATGCTTATATTACTAAAAACAATGAAGCTATGTCGATTTTGGGCTTCATTTTGCCATCGTTTGTATTGCAGCTATATGATATTGTTGTCCGATTTAAATTTAATTAAATTCGTAATTATATGATATATGATATTATATGATATAGTCGCCCGATCCGGCTCGTTCCGAGTTATATACTACCTGCTATAGAAACGGACGGACGGACAAACAGACATACGGACATGGCTAGATCGACTCTACTGGTGATGCTGATCAAGAATTTATATACTTGACTCGTTCATTGCGTTGCAAACTTTTGGCTGAAATTATAATAATAATAATAATAAAAATGTCGTTTTGACGCCGCAAAATAAAATATTTTTAACATAATTCATTGATTCCCGTAGGACCAGTGACAACGAAGTGAAGCACGAGTTCGGGACCAAGAGCTATGTTGCTGCCACGAAGCAGAAGCGAACCACCGAGACCGAGGCCTTTAACAACTTCAACTGGCTGCGCTGGCTTCGGTGGCATCCTTGGCTGGAGCGCTCTAAGCCCACTGGAACCATTGGGACATGCCGCGTCTGCAACGTGCGCATGAACGTGGAGTTTGTCTATCTGCGCAAACGTCACGAGACCACAAAAGGTCACATGGAGGCGCTGCGCAATCAGGAATCCGACAAGCCGAGCCGCAAGCGAAAAAGAAGCAAGAGCGCCAGCGAAACCACCTTTGTCGAGGAGGAGGCGGAACAGGAAAAGGAATCAGAGCCGGAGGCGGACACGGAGGATGCGCAGGAAACCCCCGTGGTGGTAATGAACGGTGGGGTGGACCCGGTCCAGGACCCCAGCAAGTGGTGTGAGCTGATTCCAGACACCAGTCCACAGCAGTGTCGCTGCACCCTCTGCGACTGTTCCATGGCGATCACCAGCTTCCTGCGGCACTGCAAAACCAAGATTCACTGTAACAAGCTATTGGAACCCGTCCAAAAAGGGTGGGTATTCTTCAATACGACGTTTGAGTAATCTATCACTTTATTTAAACTAAATTACTTTTATTTGTTGTGCACTCCAGCTCTTCAGATATTCGCGGTATTTGGGCCGTGTTTGCCGATATGCATCCATGGTTGATTGCCGATCCAGAAGACCCTAGTATTGGCTATTGCAGCGTCTGCCACAAAAGATTTATGTACGGAAACTCCGAAATCAAGCGCAAGAACCACGAGAACTCCGAAAAACACTCATCGGCAGTGGCCGCCGCTAAAGCAATTATTGAAGCTGGATTGGCTGATGCCAAAGAAACCGAAAACGAGGGCAATGACGGGGAGCAGGAGGAGGAAGAGGAAGAGGAGGATGTGCCCGCCAGTGAGGCAGCCCAGTCGGAAGCACGATCAGAGACCGAGGGCACCGAAGATATAGACGATGACAATTGGTCGGAGACACTAAAAGGTGGCAAAGGGTAGGTTTTTTTTATTTAAAGACATATTTAAAGTTTGTCATAACGGGTGCGTCGTCTTTTGCGTTAGCATTTGAAACACGATCGCCCTCTGTACTTAATGCTAATAATATTATTTTATCGATCCCAGCCTCGTTACAAAATCGGGTATGGAGCCTAGAAAGGCCAAGGTCCGCGCCGGAGTGCACTTCTACCCGTGGCTGTGCTACTCCAAGGATCGGAAGACACAGCTGTGCAAGTTCTGCCGCGTGCGCTTCCACAACGAAGCGGCAAAGGCAAGGCATGAGTTCAGTGCCCGACATACGAAACTCATGAAGCAGTTCAAGGCGCGCCAAGCGAAACAGCCCCAGGTCGGAAATAAGCAGACTAGAACTAAGCGGCAGGGCAAACTCGAGGAGGAGGGTACACAGGAGGAAGAGGTAGAGGAGGAGGAGGAAGAAGAGGAGGATGGGGATGGAGAGAGCAACACAGACTCGGGCACCGTGCAGACAAGGAAGCCACCTAGATCGAAACTGTTTGTGAAGCCCATTCCGGCAACAACGAAGGGTAAGGTTATGGTGTGGAAGGGCCGCTTCCCGTGGCTCTCCTACAAAAAGAACGAGCAGCGCGGGAACTATGCCTGGTGCAAGCTTTGCGAGGTATCCCTCTACCTGCCCTCCTCTAAGTGGGCTTCGAAACACCAGAGGACTTCGAGACACATTCGTCTTCGCATCGATCGGAAGCGTAATGGTGGACATCCTCCGGCAGGAGCTGCAACCAAAAGCCCAGTTGAAATTTCTGCCGCTGTGGCCACGGCCTCGGCTTTGGCCAGCGGAGAAGCCAGACAGAAAGCGGCCATGGCGGAGCTGCAGGCCAAGTACGACTGGCTGGATCCGGATGCCAATGACGAGAACCACTGCCATTGCCGTGTTTGCGATACCCGGTTGCCGATCAAGGTCTTCTATCTGCGCCAGCATGACTCCTCGCGCAAACACGCTGATAATTTGGAGCGGAGCAGGAACAACTCCACCGCTGCCGCAAATCCAGCATCCGTCAGCACAAACTCCACTGCCGATGCAGAGAGGCAGGAGTCTGGTTTGGACAAGGAGAGCGACGGTGAAATCAGTGTGAGGTGAGTTTTGGTTTGGTTTGGGTAGGTAGATTAAGCCCCACATTAACAACTTTAGACCGCCAAATAAAATATATAAATCTCATTAAAATGCTTAGTTACCAAGTAAAAACATACCCTGATATTTTACTGATTTGTTGTCTCTTCAGATCCGATGGCAGCACGGCGGAGCCGCCGGCGAAGCGATTACGACGCTCAATGGAAGTGCGTCGGATACTGCGCGCCCTGCGCGATTCCATGAGCAAGCCCCAGGAGGAGCGCTCTCAGATGGACATGGCCAAGGACATGATTTGTTCCTCGTTTGATATTGTGTCGCGCCTGCGAACTCTGGAGCGGGAAGGGGCCGCCCAGGGCGACTCCACGGCGCAGGCGCCGTCAGTGACAACGGCCAGGCCACCGGAGCCCCGACACGTATTAGATCTCTTCTTCGACAGCATTGCGCCGACCATGAAGTCCTTGCCGGCGGATTTGGCAGCAGAGGGCAAGGCCAAAATCATGCAGCTCGTGTGCGGCTTAGAAGTTCGGGCCATGCAGCGGAATTCGTTAGCTGCAGCCACATCTCCAGTCGGATCCTCCACATCGTCTTCCGCAGCTACTCCAGTGGCCACTCCAGCTGCGACTGTTCCATTTACGGCTAATGCTTCTGGTCCCACTTTAGCTTCTGCTCCTTCTGATACAGATTTGCATTCCAATGTTATCACTATCCAAGACGATGACTACTCTGTGAAGAACAATAACAACGAGGTGGAAACTGTACAGAGTAAGCCAGCAAGCGGTGGTTCCGCCACACAGGTGACCATTAACGGAAATCCGAAAGACCTGCCGGAGAACATCCGCCGCATCTTAAGCTCTTCCCAAATGCAGGTGACCAACCGCTACGACACGGATGCCGTGCGATGTGTGCCTCTGGATAAATTGACAACACATAGTCGGATCAACGGAAATGGGCGACAAAGCCAAGGTGGCTCCTCGGAACCACCCTCCACCCCACAGGTGGATATGCCCAATGGCAACACGCTAGCCATGCTCCGGCAGATACGTGTGAACAACAACAACAGTTCCAAGATGATCACCATCACCAAGACGCCCATGGCGCAGCCGCAGCAGCAGCAGTCTCCAAACATGACATCAACACCAATGATGCGGGGCGGTCTCAACAGCAACGGTGGTCAAATGAACACGTTTAGGTCGATGGTGAACCAAAACCGCCGGCCATAGAGCTCCTAAGAATACGAATCATCCATAGCTATAGTTTTTGGCATTATCATTATTTAAATTTGCTTCAATTCACTTATTTCATAAGTTACAGAAGAATACTTGCAAGCAAGATAATTATTTCAAATTAAGATTGACCGATCCTGTTTAGGTACTAGACCAAAGGAGTTCCTTTCAAGGTGACACATTAGAACAGATTGTAAACATTCTAGTTTGACACATAAAAAGCGAAAGTGCTTGTTCCGAGACATGCATGTTTTTGAAGGCGATTTGTTTCGGAACCATTCCCATACTATTAAAATACAACGGTTTTTTTTCTGCTTAAGCACTTAAAAATTGGATTGATTTATTAGGTTTACAGACTTGCCGAAGTCCAAAATATATTTTTATCGTATGTCTTTTAATGATACTCTTCAATTATTCCGATTCAGCCACTTTGTGGTTGCTCTTTTTAAGTCTAAATTCAAGTTCAGTCGTTAGGAAAGGATCTTTCGATCAGCTTAATTCGTTTTGGTGCCGCTGCTGTGGCTCTGCAGCTGGCAATCCGTTTTGGAGCACCGCTTCTCCCGGCTTCTCATCGCTCGTTATCGTTGAAAGCTCGATTTCACGTAATTCTCCAAGTAGACGACGCATGGAGCTGTGCATGAAGGCGTTCTCGGGGATTTGATAGCCCACTGTTGCATTGTTGGGCGGTTGAGGAGTCGCCATGGGAGTGGAAGAGGGTGTTGCTTTCGGGGGTAGGCTGGTTGTGTTCAGCTGCTTCTGCTCGTTGGCTTCCAGTGCCTGGTCGATTGGCGCGGATCGCGCGTGCAGCGGGAACATGAACTTGACATCCAGAAAGCTGCACAGCTCTTCAATCCCGTCCAGCGTTCGGCTAAGCTCCTCGTTTCCATTCGCTTGCTTTCCCACGTGATGACGCACAGTGCCCAGGTAGTTCTGCAACTTACTGCGCGCTATCTTAATTACTGTTTGAGCATTCTTCAGCTCCAATCGGAGTAGCTCGGGACTCTGGCAGAGAAAAATAGGAATATCAAGTTAGGAAAGTTCGTAAAAACATATTGTAAATTAGCTAGGGGAGTTAGTAAAGACGTCTGATTTCAAAACATTGTGGGCCCTGTCCAATTCTAGAAGTCTTATAGATGGATCGACTACATCCTACAACTAACCTAAAAGCGATCGGCAAAAATTTTATTTATTTCGTTACAAATATTAAAATAAATATAAAAATATGGTTTCTGGAAAATAATTCCACTTTAAGCTGCCATTAGAACAACCGACCGGGTTGGCACGGCATCGTTGGAACTTAAAAATGATTCAAAAAAAATATACACGTTACCTACGTTTTCATTTCGACGACTTCACTTTATGAAATATATTGACTATGCGAACTTTTAAAGTTCTATTTCTATGAAGTTAATTCAACTACACTCACATTTTCTAAGTATCCATCCATGGCCACTCGATGGGAATCCTGTAGTTTGGCCAGAGCTGAAGAATTCGCCGCATTGCGCTCCTGCATGAATGTGATTTGCCGATCTATCTGACTGGCTCTGGTAGCTACAGATGATGTTTCTGAGACGGTGCGCGGCCGCTGACCCGCTGGAGGAGGGACTTCCTTGTCCGCAGCGCTGTTGGTAAAGGACACACAGGTGAAGGCGTTCGAGGGGTAGTCAAACTGCTTGGGATTGAGCATGAACAGGGCATGTCGCAGCACCAGATGAACGTCCACGTTGCCAGGATAGCGCATAAGATAAGTTAGCGATGTGGTGTAGTCGCTAAGAAGCACTGAAATCACAAATACTTAAGCTCATTTGGATTGGAAAGCACCAGGGGGGAATACCCACGCTTTTCACGGATGTGCACCAGCATGGCCACCAGAATATAGTTGGGCAGATCAAAGCGATCGCTGTCCGCAAAGATTGCATCCCACAGCAGCAACAGGTCCAGCAGCATGAATTCCCGTCCAAAGAGAAGTCGTAGCCATCGACTATTCATGATTAAGGTGAGAGATTGTTAAACTAATTAAGATAAACTTTTTCTATTTTCCTTAGTAAGTTAATCGATTCGATTACTTCATTTAAATATTTAGTGTTTTTGAACCACATTGCGGTCTCTAAATCTTTAGTATTAATTTGTGAAAACATTTAAGCTTCAATGCGAAAAAGAAAAGAAAATCACATACAAAAATTATTCGTTCACGATCGTGGGTAGATTTTTGTGTTTGTGAATGACATCATCTGTCTATATGCACCCTTGCCACTGGGAAAATATGAAACAATTTGCTGTCGGATTTTATTAATATAATTTAGAGAAATGTTAATGCACTATTCAACAAACTAAAATCTCATTTAAACCAAATAGCACCCTTAGCAACTGGAGCTGTCTTAGATAAGTAACTGAAATCCCCGCTTTTCGATTGCAACTTACATGCCGAATATGTGCAGCGGGATTTCCATCTTTTGCAGATAGTGGTGCAAGTGCTGGTCCTGCTTGGCGAGTATTTTGTCCCGTATGAAGTTCAGCTGGCTGATAACCTCCGCCTCCGTCGGCGCCTCATTGTCCCCGGGAGTCTGAAAGAGGAATGGGTAGCGATAAGAATTGGGTTGCTGGACCTGCAAACTGCGACGTACCTCGGCTCGCTGCTCGATGTGGCCACCGGGAGTGGAGACCAGATTCGAGACGCGATAGTACGACTCCACGGAGGCCATAAGGCGGGAGAACAAAGAGCTGCAAGATAGGCACAAGTTGGTACAAAGAAATTACAAAAATCTTGTATTACGCACTAGGTATCCGCCTCCAGAAATGCGGGATCCAGCACGTCTAGAAGCGTCGGATTGATATCCGTCTTGGCCAGCTCGCTAAAGTGCAGCAACGACTGGTGATCACTGTAGACCACAAAGATTATGGGAGCCAGGATCTCGTGCATTCCCTGCCGATAGCACATGTACGGATGCTCCCTGGCGTAGTAGAACAGTATGTTGACCATGGCATTCTGTACCAGTGGTTTTCGGAAGAAGTCCACGCCCGGAAAGGTGCGCACCACATCCTGCCTTATAACGGCAAACAGCTCCTGGTCACTGAAGTACTGGTTCCAGACGCTCTGCGTCGACTGCGACAGGGGATCATCGTTGCAGTCCACGGCCAGTTGGTGGGGATTCCTGACGTAGTCCGCCCGGAACTTGTCGTACCTCACCCGCTGCTGGAGTCGCTGGCTGATCCAACTCCGGTGCTCGGAGGTCAGGACCCGAAGCAGAAGGGCCCAGTGAACGCTCCGGAATTTGGACATCTTTAGGTCCCCGGCGAATGCAGACTGGCGGAGTACCTCCGGCTCGGCATCGAGGTTCTCCAGCAGCTGCGCCCACTCCTGCCGGTAGCGCTCCACGGAATTCATGGCTCCCGCTTCCGGAATCACCCGATCTCCCACGACGCTTTCCACCAGGTGCTCCACGCTTTCCCTCGCCGACGATCCGTTCAGTGTAATGGCCTCTATGCCCCAAACAGTCATCGCTTGTCGCTGGTTGGGCACTAAATGCAGGCGTTCATCCGCCTCGTTGCCATGTCAACGTTGGGTTCCGATGGTTGGAGGGGGTGCCGCCGAATTCAATTCAAACAGTGAAATTTACCAAGGAAAGTGAATTCCACTTCAATTCCAGGAGATAACAGTGGGTGCAAGTGTGACCGTATACTGACCGTTAAAATATACCGTAAGCTGCGGCTCATGCTGATATACTAGAACACTATTATAACTTTCCTAAAATACCGGTATTCGAAATATAAAATTCTCCTCAAAATAACGGTTTTTATGCATATGTGTGACATGATATTCAACCCTTATTTGATCCCAAATTAATATTTTGGGAAAGTCATAAAAATGTTAAATCAATTAAGACTTCCATTAATAACTCGAAAATATAAATATATGTACGCTCTGTAATTTACTTTTAAGTTAATAGGTCGCACTGACATAAAGGTAGAATTCTAGCAGGTAATGACCTCTAAAAGTCGTTATCTTGTGATTGTTCCATGACTGTCATAGGAGATATCAGCTTATTTTTGTATTTAATTTTACATACACATACCTTAATAACAATGAGGATTACGCCTAAAATTGATTTATTTTGAAACAATGATTTTTGATCCTACAAAAAAATTTCCAATGTGATTCCTCCGGATCAATTATTGTAATTTTTAAAAAAGAAGAAATTCTAAAAACTAACGAAGCGGATATTTAATACGTGATCGGGCCACTATTCTTCATTGATCCCGCTCCGCAGCACAGATTAAGTTTCGGTAGAGTACAGAACCCATTATTTCAGTATGCACCTCTCTATCGGTACTCATTTAGCCAGGCTTTAAATTAAATTGGAAATCTCATTAATTAGGTTTTGTGCCAAATCATCATCTTTAAAAAAGGTTGCCATTTGTACTTAGAGAAGAATAAAAAATGAACCGGGCTTAAGTACATTTGTTTATACAGTCAAGCTTCTAACTTCCAAGTCACCCGAAGCCATGCTCTCTGTGCATATATGATGAATTCAGTTAAAGAAGTTTGACTTTGGTCTTGTTTGCCGCTCTGCTTCTAATGAGCACATATGAATCCATTAGAGAAAAATTCACAAAAGTTATTAGCTTTAAATTCGCATTTATTTACGCGTTCTGCTTCACGTATGTAGTATCCGAGGTGTATACTTTGTTTATCAAATCTAACTATTGAGGTCAATGCTTGTCGCTATAATATGCAACAATTAATTCATGATAATGCCAAATCGTTGGCAGCGAAGCGGATCCAACCAGGAAATAGAAGACAATAACGAAATGCGAAGACGTCGGATCGGATCGGATCGAATCGAATCGGTTTGGCAGAAGTTTTGCCCCTTGCCATGCTAAAACTGCAAATAAACCAACCGACATCTGCTAATGGCCACTAAAGTTTTCTATTTTTGATTGTGTGCCGGTGCCATGACATGCCGGTCAATGTCGTTTTTTGATCTAGTCTTGAGTAATTTTTCTAATCTCTTTGGGGCTTGAACTTGAACGATCGTTGATGGCTTTGACCCAATGACTGAATGCCGAATGTCTGCGGTGGGTGGATGGGTTGGTGGGTTTTTGGGTTGCTGGGTCAGTGGGTGGTTCTCGGTGCTCAAGCGAGTGTGTCCTGAGTAATAATTATGGGTTCAAGTACTTCCATCGGACTTATGTCTTGAATAATCTTCAGGCACGAAACCATAAATTTGGAAACAGAAATAAATGCATTACATTTACTGCATGCCAATTATTACCCAAAGTATCAGTGAGTGCCAGTAAAGTGCAGTCTTTATATGCAAATGCAAGATGTCCAACCACCGCATAAACGCAACCAGGTATCGCACGTATGCGTCACATTGGCTTCGATTTATAATTTCTCGGTCAAAGTCAATGTCAATGCAAATGGCAAAAACCAGCAAGCCGCCGCAGTATCGCATTCGCATTAATAACAATAATCAGTCAATGGGGCTATTCGGTTTTAGCCCTCCTCTAGATCTCCTCAACCCCAGCTTTTGAAAAACGGTCCAAGTGCGAACGAGTTTTGGCCGCTTATCAAAAGCTAAGCTTTTTGCCTTTGGCCTGAGAACTCGTTTGCTTTGCGGCAGAGTTTGGGCCCTGTTACAATTTGCTTTTGTCTGCTTAGCATTTTGTATTTCCTGATGTTTAATCAGCCAGCTGAAGACGAAACCGAGACAGCAAATCGATTTCGGGGTTCACTTTTTCGCTGCTCTAACTGGCAAGGTGTTATAATTTTTATGAAGTTTTTGACTAGGATTAGAAAATACTTTTTAACCATTTTTGTTGTTCTTTTCAGTTTTTAATTTCAAAGCTTTTTTATTATGTTTATTAAGCTTTACATTATTAAAATTATTATTATTAAGAATTTAAAGTCGATTATATATAAAATAAAATATAAACCATGCTATTGTGTTATTTTCCAAATATATATTTATTTATAAATTTCATTGAATTTAAAAAATAATAGATTTGGGTTTCCACAGAAATCACTTGTGAATCGAAATAAAAAAACCAGTTTGTAAATCATGGAATCCAAAATAAGGTATAATACGACTTTTATAATATTTTAAAATGGTCAGAAAGCGGAAATGGCTGGGCCATTTGTTAGATAAAGCTGTAGTACCTAACTCCAGTTTCGTAGAGAGGGTATTACAAGTACTGCCGGGTCTTTCTTTGCCGTCATAGATCTAATGCGGTCTCGACTTCGTCTCTTCATTTGCAGCAAAGACAAACTGCGAGGTTAGCGGCGATCTGTTGGCGTCGTTTTTTCGCGCAGCATTGGCCTTTTTTGTTTGGCTTTGTTTCCATTTACATATTTTAATTGCTGGGTCGAACTCCGCGGAGGTCCGGTCCCCAACTTGTTTACTGTTACATCTATGCGGAAGAGTTGGAAGCGGAAGTCTGGCCAAGTCCACCGGCTCGTAATGTGTAATAAGGCGGCGGTTTTTCAATAGCATCTGAGACCTAGGAATCGATTTGATCAAATAACAGGGAACCAATAACCTTGTCCACGTCGCGCCAAGGGTCACGAGGTTAAATGTAAATGGGAATCGGGAAGCGAGTATAATTCATTCTTTTCGGATTCCAATGTTTATATTTATACCCTCTGAGATCAGCTTTGGTGAGGTCTCGTGTTGGCCAAAACTTGTTCTGGCCCGAAAACAACTTGATCTTCACATAAATAAATCTTTAGTAATTTAGAGAGATTCTTCTACCGAGCTGGGTTTGTAAGCCCTGTCATATATAACTTATTTCCTTTATTTTCGATTTCAATGTCTGTTTAAACATGGGATATTTTGTTTATCGATAACCGAAAGTTCTTAATTAGGCTTATGACGCATATATATAGGGTTATTTTGTTTTATTTTCGCCTTGACTGATATCGTTGCCTAGACGGGTGTTAAATGAGCTGCCCCCAGGTTTATGGAGTTGTCCGACTGGTTTCTCTAGGCGAAATTAAATAAGGGCCAAGTGGCGACTTCTCCTGGTAATCAGGTTGGTAACCAGTGCTCACTAGACTCACATGCATATTTATGCAAATCCACTTACACACCAGCATATAGTCGAGAATAGAAACCCCAAAATATATAAATCTGCGGACAGGCTGAAGGCTTTTTAAAACGCCAATCAGGTTTGCGATCTCCCCCAGAATTCTAAACAGGCTCTGGGTCTTATCGACGCTGATCATGATCGAGTTGTTAATGAAAAGAGCCGAGCACTTGGTGACGAGTTCTTTTGGCCAGCTAAGCCAACTTCCCCAAGGGGCCGAGATTCTGTGGCCCGAAGTGTACGGAAATGCTATTTGCGCCAAAATAGAAAATCAAAAAATATTGTCGAAAAATTTCGGGTGTGGGCGAGCAGAAAACGTTGGAGGGCACGTGATTAACTTGCTAATTTCTGCGTTCCGACAACTCCAATTCGGTTTATGGCTTATCAATGTTTTGCATGGCTTATTCTTACAATCTGCCAATTGAAGAGCAGTCCACCCTTGCATACTGACTGGGCAATGCCCTGTGGTCTCCTCAAGAATGTTGATATATTGGTTTGCTTGGGTTTTTCGCTTTTATGTGGCTTTTCAATGTTTTTATTTTGAAAATGTTTTGTTGTTAATAAGTCTTAATGGGCCATAAGCTTGGTGTTTATGTACATTTACACCAAAGCTATGAGCTTGACATTTTCTCAGGGATATTACGTTCAATGGCAATGCTACTAAACTAGCATTTCGCATTTTAAAAATGAAGACAAATAAGAAATTTAATTTTGATATTTTAGATTCTTCTGTACAAAACACTTAACGAAAGTTTTTAGGTGATCAAATTATCTAAAACAAACTTTAAATTTAATTACTTAACTAGTAATATAAAGATTATTAGATATAATCATTTTGCTACCTATAAGAAATGTGCAAGTTTGTAGCTAGTTAAATTAATGGGCTTATACATAAAATTCACCAATAAACTTTTAAAAACCAAACGTGCCAGCCACGAGAATTCATATGAATGGGCGCGGGCTTTTGTCCCAAAGAATAGTCTAAAAATAGGGGTACAGGTTTATTATCTTGTGCTAAACTCTGATGGATTTGGGTTGTACGTAGACTGGCAAGCACATCGAAGTCGTAAAAGCAATGTTTGATAAATTGGCCGGACGAACGGCCTGAGAATCGCAATGCGGCCAACGGCATTCGGCCAATAGATTCGGCTTAAGCGTGTGCTGAAAGAAATGTATTCCGAAATAACATCAAAAAACGAGAAAATAGTATTAACATATTATGTAGATTTGGATGCTAGCGTTGTGACAAGTGACAATGGGATCGGAATTGCAAAGTCCATGCCGCGTTGCCCTGGGAATCCATTTGAGCTGTTCTCCTTATGCGATCTGTATCTACACAGAACAAAAAGTGACATGAAATTGGAATCTTTCACCTATATTTTCTTCGGTTTTTGACATTAAATATAATGGGTTGTTATATATTTCTTTGAAATTTAGAGATTACACATAGATAATATATGTAATTAATAGACAGTTTGATTTGCGATCTGTTATTTAAATCAGTATTTTAGAATCAGTATTTTGACAAAAAGTAATAAATAAAGAGGAATAAGTAGTCAATTTTTCCCATAATAGCGCATTTAAAAAAGGCTCATTAAAAATTAGGCCGACATGAACATAGGTCAAGTTGTTTAATAATCTTTTAAAAGGGTTTACCCTCTTTTACTTAGAGTAAATATATCTCAGATCATGTAAGTGAACTGCTGCATGAATTGAAATATAAGCTTTTACTTAGAGTAAATATATCTCAGATCATGTAAGTGAACTGCTGCATGAATTGAAAAATAAGCTTACATTTTAATATTCAGAATATCAATCTTTAGTCTTTGTAAGTTTTTGTGTCTGTACCATTGGATGTTTTTGTATGGGAATGTGGACACACAGCAACGGATATGTAATGAGGCTTTTGTTTGATTTTGTTATTATTTTTCATGGCACATTTGAGGTGTGTGTTGACGTGACATTGTGCTCTTCCTGCGGCACATCAGAAATTTGCATAAATATTTGGTTAAAGCGATCGCTGGCACCTGGAGGACTGATTCGGCCGGATTTTTCACGCACTTTGCGCTTGGAATCGCTCGAGAAGCACTGCCTCGGCAAATTTGTCATTTGAGCAGTGATTTCGAAACAGATGCCAGCGTGCATTTCAATTAGATGCAATTAGTTCGGGCATCGCATCACTTCAGAGAGTTCGGAGTTGCTTCACAAGTGAAAATTAACTTGAGGTAATGCGGAGTTGCCGAGTTGCGTTGGCCACGCCCCAAAGGTTGGGGCCAGGTTAAGACGTGTTCGCGGCACTTGTACCTAATTGTGCAATTTTCGCCACTCAAGAACCAGCCAAGAACTCAAGAACAGCAGCCGATCGACCTTGGCTAACTCACGACCCGCCACACGATTCCCTGTCCAATTTCGAGATGCTACTTCTGCCTTTCTGCCAGTCACATTCGTTTGAGTTTTAACCACCACACTCCGCGAATGACAGTCATTTAACATTTGTAAGTTTATCTTTAATTTTTCAATAACACACCGACGATTATTGAGGAAGGCTTTGCGCTCTGTGAGGGAGTTTAGTTGCAATTTGGCACTTGACTTTGCATTTTTACACAAGTGGATTTTGCACAGTGGCAACCCATTCTGGGAAACTGTGATCAGTCATAGTCAGTCATATATAGTGCCTACCTCACATTGCAAATAAATTAAACTGGACTGTCAGTTCAGTAAGTTATTCCCAGTCAACTCAAGCAAATAAATTCAAATTATTTTCCGCTGAGGGAACTTTCCTCCGTTGAAAGCCTGATTTATATTTATTGTTTACAGCTCAGATAATTGCTAACATTTGATTATTATTTTTGTGAAGCACTAACTATTCTAACTATGCTCACTAAATATCTTAATTTACACTATTGCAAAAAATATTATTTATGAAAATAGCTTTAAATAGCAATAAGAGTAAGTTTTTACGAAGGCGATAACTCATTTTTGGGTAATATTTTACTTAAACCAATTTGAAAACCCCCTTTTTCCATATTTACAACTTTGGGTGGGTCAGTGAATAATTTGACTTTAAGCTGTGACTTTTATAGCAGGAAATGTTTTCACACAAAGTAATTATTATACCCTTGCAGAGGGTATTATAATTTCAGTCAAAAGTTTGCAACGCAGTGAAGGAGACATTTCCGACCCTATAAAGTATATATATTCTTGATCAGCATCACCAGGAGAGTCGATCAAGCCATGTCCGTCTGTCCGTCCGTCTGTCCGTCCGTCCGTTTCTACGCAAGCTAGTCCCTCAGTTTTAAAGCTATCTGCTTGAAACTTTCCCAAAAGTTGTCTTTCTATTGCAGGTAGTATATAAGTCGGAACGAGCCGGATCGGGCCACTATATCATATAGCTGCTTTATAACTGAACTATCGGAAATGCCATAACTTTGGTGTTTTTCAAGTTAGCAAGTTAGGAAGTTCTACGGGTTTTATTTTTGGCTAATCAGTCTGACTTACCAAATTTTATAAGGATCGGACGACTATATCCTATAGCTGTCATATAACTGATTGATCGGAAATGCCATAACTTTGGTGTTTGTAAAGTTAGGAAGTTGGGATTATCTTTGGGTTTTATTTTTGGCCAGTCAATCCGACCTGCCAAATTTCATAAGGATCGGCCGACTATATCCTTTAGCTGCCATATAACTGAACGATTGGAAATGCCATAGCTTTGGTGTTTGTAAAGTTTGGAAGTTGGGATTTTCTATGGGTTTTATTTTTGGCCAATCAATCCGACCTACCAAATTTCATAAGGATCGGCCGACTATATCTTATAGCTGCCATATAACTGAACGATTGGAAATTACATAACTTTGGTGTTTTTAAAGTTAGGAAGTTGGGATTTTTTATGAGTATTAAGAATGCATCATATAAATAATTTTGGAGAATATAATTTACAGAATATTCTGCAAGGGTATATCAACTTCGGCTCCGCCCGAAGTTAGCTTTTCTTTCTTGTTATCTTTAATTTTGTTTGTTTTGTGTTGAAACATAAATATTTATGGTTTGAAAATTGCAGTCTTTTTAAATTTTTGGGGATCATTGCAAGTGTGTTAGTTTTCAATTCTTTTTTGGTTTTTTATGAGTAAATTATATCGTATTTAATTTCAAGTAGTTGATACAATTATCTCAATAGGTAATATGCAATAATTACAATTTTATGATTCACAAATGGCAACAAATATATTGTGTTTTTTAATGACTCTTTAGTAGGCACGTGTTGAAAATAAACTCTGGCGTTATGCTGATTGAAATCGAAAGTCATTAAACCGAGGCATGTTTCTTTAGTTCGGGCTTTGAGGGTAGTGGGTTTACAGGGAAACTGGGCTGGGAATCACTGGAAACGTGTTGCCAAACCGGTTAACTGGCGCTATTTTGGCCAGTGAGTAACCACTATGCAATCGCGGTGCAGGCTGCAAGATGCGCCACGTGACCTTCGGCCAAGGGGCCAAGTTGCCACAAGGGGCCAAGAAAACCTTCGGTTCGACGAGGGGCTTTTGACACCAAGTGCTGGCAGATGGCAAACAATTTTAGTGGCCGCCACTAAACAAAATTAGACACGACTCATTTCAACTTTGCGGCGTTGGTGTGAAAACCCGGCAATTATCAGAAACCGCAACAACGCGAAAACTGTCAACAAACGCATTTTTTTCGGCCTCCTTTTCTTGGCCTGCGATGCGGTAATTGCTGTTTGCCCAGCGAGCTTCAAACAAAAACACCCAAAGAATCGAACAATTATTAGCCCATTTCATGAGTTGGCTGGCCCAAATATTTGGGCGGACTAAACAGCAATTAAATATAGCTGGCCACGCGGCAGGAAAATGTCTGAAAACAACCGAAAAAAGCAATTAGAATCCGTGACCAGTTCGTCAAAATATCTGAATATGCATAGAGGCAAGGCCGAGGTGGCAAACTGGTTAACCGTTTGGCATCTGACATACATCGCGTTATATATGTCCCAGATCCGGAGTGAATTAAGAACGTTATATAATGCCGATTCGAAAACATGTTTCCCAAGCACTTCATTAGCAGGCAGTACAAAGCCCCGAAAAGATGAGAAAAAAGCCAAAAGAAATCACCGAGCGACGTGCCGAGCTCACTTGACCGATAGTTTAAGCCACTTGACCTGCGACGATCCAAAAAGAAAACAAAAAACTTGGCCAAAATGTTGTAGTTCCACTTCGCTTGCGTACGTGAGCTTGACCATTTACAGACCTTTTTTCCCTCGGGGATTTCCCACCGCTTAAATGAAATTTCTGTGGAAAGTGTAAGTGATCTGGATATTCTTTGCAGACTGATCGGACAGTCCTAAAGTCAGAAAACCAAGTTCCCAACAGCCACGCGCCGAATATTATGGGACGAATACATGCAAAAGATATAGCATAAGCGACCCCGGCCTTAAGATCCGAGATCCGAGATCCAATACGATACGATCCGATCTGAACCGATCCAAAACGATCGTCACAGCCCAAGAACCGAAGCAGCGGCAGAAGCGTCGAAGTCGCGGAGAGACGGCTTTAAATTTCGGTGTTGGTTAACTTTTGAGGCACTGTATCCATCCGCCTGCTCTCTCAGCGCGATCGCATAAGCGTCTCAGAGCCTAACGATCGATCGCGGTACTGGGCGAATTCTTTGAACTAGGCGCTTAAAAAGCACTGCCAGTTGCTCCGATCCCTCATACGCCGTGTATTCATCGCGCCTCGTGGACGTGCCGTGTGTAGTGGCTGAAAAAGCGGAAAACACATCTCGAATAACTTTGACGTATCACCGAATCCTTTTCGAGGGGATTCGAAACGAACTATTGTGCTAACTGTGATCTAGTGTATTGTGAGCGAACCGAACTCAGCGGATTTTGAGTGCTCTGCGTGGACTTTCTACACCTCTGTTGCAATTCAATCCTTAAAGGTGAGTGTGGGTTAGCCAGAACACTGGACATATTCACTCATAAAGATTAGGAACATTAGAAAACAATAATGAAACCCGTATGCTTTGGCATTGCGGAAGTCAGCAAGCAGGAAACACAAAGGCCATCTCGAGACTATCGTAAAAGTTTCAGCCGAATTTCAACTTCGATCGACAGCACTTCAACAGCCAATCGACCATGTGATTCACCTATAGGAAATAGCATTCCATCGAGCAGTAAAATATATTTATGAAAAGAATTTTATAGAGCGGCTGACGCAAGACCAAAAAAAGGGAACCATTGACGCCTCACGTAACCCTCATAATACTAAAATTATGCTAGCCTTAAATAGACCGAGGGGAATTCTATAGCTGATCTGGGAGTTTGAATCGAATCTCTTTGCTCTTAGCCGCACACGCTAATTGCGAATGCGTCAAAGTGAGCGATGTCGATAATGAGTATGGATGCCACGCATAATGCGGCCATAAGCATATTAAGTCCGGGGATGGGATCTGTTTAGCTGAAAAGCCGGGGATCTGGGGAGCCGCAGACCCGCAGAACCATAGAATAGTGACCAGACCAAAGTCACGTTCCCAGTTTCAGTTCTGGGTCCCCAGTCTCTGGTGTTTTGGTATGCGCCAAGCGTCGCCAACTGCGTGCGCTGCTCGAATCGATCAATGGGGCTCGGAATCGAACTCGGGCTCCTCCCGTGGTATCAATCACAGTCCGGCATTAGATTTGAGTCAGGTCCCATAACTATATATTTATTACCGCTGACTGATCTGTGACGTGGTCAGACAGAGCGGACGATCGCGAACCCCAGCCGAACCCAAACACAAATCCGAATTAAAACCCAAAATATAAAGCCATGCCAAAACCCCCCCCCACCAAAACTCGTTGGCAACACCAACCTTGATTCGGCGGCGGAGAACCCAGACCCGAAACAAAAGCAGTTCTATACATAAATTTATCGTGGTTACTTAACTATGCTAATATTCCGGTAAGGATGATTGAGCGCTGGACTCATCCGACTCAGAATCACGCCGAAGAAGACCCGTGGCAAAACTAGTTTAATTCAGCCAGCGCGTGGCACCTGCATCGTATTAGTATCGGCATTAGTATCGCTTATCGGAAATTCAATTACATGCCCGAATACCCTATGGCGAATTAGTCGCCGTGTAGCTCTAATTTCCAGTGGCTTACAGATAGCCAATGCCAAAGGCCACCTAGTACAACAGCCTGAATTAAGCAGGCGAATAAAATTCAAAACACACGACTTGACATTGAACCGCGGCCAGTTAATGGCTTCGAATCAATGCGCAAAGCCAGCAAAGCTCTCCCAGACAGTAAGAATATTTTTTTAGATTTGAATCAACACATGAGACATGCAACCGCCGCGCTGAGGTCAACCGGTTGTCTAATTTATCTATTCTAGAGAGTTGAAGATCAGCCAACTCCGTGTGGCACCCGCAATTAGCCGAAAGACAGAAAGACATAAATTGCTTCAAAGTGCATTGTGTTGGGTGATTGAATGGACCCGCAAAGCGTATGCGCAATGTGTTGCACTGAACCCACTGACCTAGCTCATGAATTTAACAACAATGTTATTCAAATTCGCAATGGTCAACCTAAATCCCTAATGACTTTAGTCGCCCTTTAGGCTGGCAAATAACCAATGCATTCTACAATGTTCCAAACATGCATATTTCATCATCAAAAGATCTGCTTAAAAAATCCTCTTTATTTTCTTTATCCCAAAGCGCTCTTCCAAGAACATTTCTTGTCGAATATTCTTGCTAAAGATCTCTGATGAAACTCCTGCCATTTTTGATCTTTTAAAGAACAAAGTTATTTTTAGGCTACTGCCTTTAAGGTTCTTAAACAACCTTTTCTGGTTTTCGATGCCAGCCAAACCTTTGTAAAGAATGGATATGCAAATATTTCATTCGTCGTGTACAACATAAAAAATTATTGATTGTTTTTCTGCGGGGATTTTGTTGTTTTGGATTTGGTTTCTCGGTTTTGGATTTCGTTTTATTCGGAATTCTCTTTTTGCGCTTCCGGCTTGCTATCTTTGTATCAGTTTCGAGTATCATTGAATCTGGCCAACTGGCGAAGGTCGCCGCTCGGCACTCACCTCAATTGTGGTCCATAATTAGTCGTGCAGCTGGGGTGATGCCTTCTATATGGATGGAGAGCCATAGAGGCGGCCTGTCCTGCATTCAAATGAGGAAAGCCACTGTCGCAGAGCAGCACCCAGCCGCTGATTGATTTGCATCTCTGTGGGCTCCACATAATCGAGACGACAAAGGCGTTCCGTATGACAGGCCATAAATCAGGAAGAAAACTATGGAATACCAATGCGTTTACTAATATGTGACTAATTATATTTTCCGGTTTCGTTTGCAGATGTCGCCCAACATAATAGGGAGCACTTTCATATTGGCCGAAACGGCCATTGCCGATGGCAACAACAATAGCAGCAAGATGGCCGCCAAGCCCGCCGCCTCTGCCGCCACGCCCACCCAGAAGGTCGCCAAGAAGGTGGAGGCGAAGTCGGCAGAGAACAAGCCCTACGAAATGGAGATCGTGTGGCGCAACGTGGGCCTCTTCATCATCCTCCACTCGATGGCCCTGTACGGCCTGTACCTGGTATTCGCCGAGAGTGCCTACTGGGAGCTCTTGCCAGGTGAGTCTGGGTATCACTGAATCCGAGAGACACCTTACTTACTCCTTTCTGCCTTTTAGTGTATGCCACCATGTTCCTGGGCGGACTGGGCATCACGGCCGGAGTGCATCGCCTGTGGTCGCACAAGGCCTACAAGGCCAAGCTGCCGCTGCGCATCTTCCTCATGCTGTGCCAGTCGCTGGCCTTCCAGAACAGCATCTGGGAGTGGACCCGCGACCACCGGGTGCACCACAAGTTCACCGACACACACGCCGATCCCCACAACTCCCGCCGCGGCTTCTTCTTCGCCCACATGGGCTGGCTGATGTGCAAGAAGCACCCCGATGTGACCAGCAAGGGCAAGCAGATCTCCATGGAGGACATTGAGCAGGATCCCGTCGTCATGTTCCAGAAGAAGTGAGTGCTTGATGTGTAACAGATTTTAGTTTATACTGCTAAATACTGGATGGTTAAAGGATCTGCAAGTACTTTATAATAGTTTGTTTATTATGATCCTGGGTGCTCTTAAAAGCATTTTAACTTGACTGCCTAAAAGTAGGCAGTGAAATATTTTTGATCCAATATTAAGGCACTAAACTGCTTCTTGCTGAAACATTTTTGAAATCAGATTGATAAGTTCGTAATCATATAGCACAATAAAATGAAATGCTTTAAATCACAATAAATGTAGCAGGTTCAATTCAGACTGAAGGTACACACACATCTTTAGGAGTTTAACAATTACTCTGAATGACTTGTAACCATTTATTTTTATAATAATCAGAGTGCAACAGCCTGACTCGTACTTGGCTTTATATTTATCCTCCCTCTTTCATTTACTAACACATGTTATTAATTTTACTCCCGCAGACTCTACTTCGTGGTGATGCCCATCTGCTGCTTCGCCCTGCCCATGATCTTCCCGTACTACGTGATGGGCAGCTCGCTGCGCGTCTGCTTCTTCACCTGCTCCATGCTCCGCTTCTGCCTGTCGCTGCACTTCACCTGGCTGGTGAACAGCGCCGCCCACTTCTACGGCATGAAGCCCTACGACGTGAACGTGAGTGCGCTGAACAACAAGCTGGTGTCCACGCTGACCATCGGCGAGGGATGGCACAACTACCACCACGTCTTCCCCTGGGACTACAAGGCAGCTGAGCTGGGCACCTACAGCTTCAACTGGACGACGGCCTTTATCGATGTGATGGCCAAGATCGGTGGGTTCTTGAGAGCTTTAAAGTGCTAAAGCCTTTGCTAACTTTTGCATTTCTCCATTCCCTTCCAAAGGACAAGCCTACGACCTGAAGTTTGTGTCCCAGGAGATGGTCTACAAGCGAGTCCTGCGCACTGGCGATGGCTCCCACATTGCCGCCCTGCTGGATGCCAACAACAACAGCGCCATCCCGACCAACGAGCTGGTGGCCCATCTGGATCACGATAAGGAGGAGCACGCCATCTGGGGCTGGGACGACAAGGACATCAGCGAGGAGGACCGCAAGGGAGCCAACGTGGTGAACAAGGAGTCCGAGTGCAAGCTGGATTAGAGAGTGGAAATTAGCGGGGGTTCACCCAATCGAACACACTTCTTGCTGCCACATCGGGTCTGCAGTATTTAATTATATTAATTGCCTATTCTCCTTACCTGCCTACGCGATTAAGTGGTGGCTGTTTAAAGAACTAGAAAAGACAAATTCAAATTCAAGGGGGATTTCGATCTGATGGCAGCAAGAACACCTTATATATCAATGGCTTCAATTCCAAATATAACGAAACAACTGAACACTATTCGAGATTAGTCAAAGCAACTCGGTTGCAGCAACAGAGTGTTAAACAAAAATCTGCACCTTATTAATTCTCAACACAATCCCTATTTCGCACTTGTCGTTCGGGGATAATGAGCACATCTGCCACCCTCTTCCTCTTCCTATTCGTCTCCCCTTCCCCTTCCCTATCTCTATTTTTATATATAAATAAATGTATATTTACGCAAGAGGTTCTAGAATTAAGCGTACCTGCTAAGATCTATTTTAAGCACCGACTTTTATGTGTGTGTACATTGTGTTAGTTATGTAGGTCTAAAATTGTACATTTTAATCCAACTATTGTTGAAAATTACAAAAAAAATTATAAAAACAAAAAAACAAATTACCAAGCATTTATTATTTAAAAGTGTATTGTATGAACGCCACTGTCTAAACATACATTTTAGATATGCCTACGCGACACAAGTTTATTTTTAAATGTGGCCAGTTATCAAGCTGAATATTTTTATTCAGTCAGTATCTATCGGCAAAAAAAACATTTCTATGCGGATTTTAAAATTGGTTATTAAAGATTTTTTTAATAAAGATTTTTTTTAGATTTTCAAAGGCAAGTAACAACATGATGTTGAAGCAAGCGATATCGTTAACCACTGAATGAATGTGTTTTTACGACTTGTTTACGATCACTTAACTTATATACTTTTACGTTCTTTACTGTGCCTTTACTGTAATTAAGTTTTTAAATACGATAAAATAATTTCAAAATTTACTAGTTCTCATTAACCCATCGACACTGTAAGAACGCTTTATTATTATAACTACCAATAAAAAGTTTAAATGCATTGTTCTCATATCTTGCTATTTGGCTATACTTGTGTAAGTTTTAAGAAATCAATTGCAAAACTTTAAATGGACCTCACTTTGTGACACTAATACGAACATTTAAATGCTGGTTAAATTGGCCAAAAACGAAAGTGTGAAATAAGGACTAAACAAGAACGGAAAGCTAACTTCGACCGGAGCCGAAGTTGATATACCCTTGCAGAATATTCTGTAAATTATATTGGTTGGCCAATATAAAATCCTAACTTCCTAACTTTAAAAACACCAAAGTTATCGTTCAGTTATATGGCAGCTATAGGATATAGTCGGCCGATCCTTGTGTAATTTGGAAGGTCGGATTGATTTGCCAAAAGTAAGTCCCATAGGAAATCCCAACATCCTAACTTTAAAAACACCAAAGTTATGCCATTCCGATTGTTCAGTTATATCGCAGCTATAGGATATAGTCGGCAGATCCTTATGAACTTTGATTGGTCGGATTGATTGGCCAAAAATAAAACCCATAGAAAATCCCAACTTCCTAACTTTAAAAACACCAAAGTTATGGCATTTCCGATCGTTCAGTTATATGGCAGCTATATTATATAGTCGCCCGATCTGGCTCGTTCCGACTTTTGGGAAAGTTTTAAGCAGATAGCTTTAAAACTGAGGGTTTAGTTTGCGTAGAAACGGACGGACGGACAGACAGACATGGCTAGATCGACTTCCTGGTGATGCTGATCAAGAATATAAATACTTTTCCGACCCTAGGAAATGTCTCCTTCACTGCCTTGCAAACTTTTGACTGAACTTATAATACCCTCTGCAAGGGTATAAAAATGATTTAAACAATGGCGGTATTGTTCTTATTATCAATGAAAAATGATTTTCTGATGAGATTTCTTGTACTTTTCATTTAAAAACAGTTTAAAAATGAAAAATAAAAAGTGAAGTTTTGTTTTTGATTTTCGATTGCTAGTTTGTTGTTTCTTAAACGACGTGAGCTGTTTTGATTTAAATCAACAAACCAGAGACTTAGGAAAAATGAAGCCAAAACACAGGAGACAGCCTTTATTGCAAAAGTGGGCAAACAGGGTGGACATTAGTGAGAGAGCTAACTGTAGCTGATGTGCTGCTCCTCGTGGGTGTTGAACTGGGTGCGGGCTGCGTACAGTAAAGCCGCCATAAAGGCGCCATTGTTCATAACCAGCGACAGAATGGTGGCCATTTTGAGGGCCGGCAGGATGAAGGGCAACAGGCTGCCCAGCAGGACGACGGGGAAGATCAGCATGGGCACAGCCACCTGCATCATGGTCACCTTGTACGAGTTCTTCTTCTTCCGCTTGCCCAGCAGTCCCCCGCCGCCGCCCTCACCCCCAGCCACGCCCCCTCCGCCTCCCAGTGCGCCCTGCTGCTTGGAATCGCCCTCCGCTTCCGGTTCATAGTTCTCCACACTTCCGCTAATGGCACCTGCACCACTAATAGACGGGAGATTCATTAGGTTCAGCTCCATCTCCTCCGTTTCACGTCGGCGGGAACGTCCCATCCGCTCCAATTTGGGAGCTGAAATGATAACATATGGCAAAGTTAAAGTTCATTGCTCATAAATTCGATTTATAAAAATAATAATCGTTATTTATATTAATATATTAACGTTTTTTGAAGTCAGCTATTTTTTAGGTATTTTTTATATGCACTTTAACTTCAGAAAACATCGAAATATGCAATGATATTTAAAGAATTTCATTGTTTTAAATTTGAATTGAACCTAGCTTTCAGAGCCGTAGGGCAAATATTTTGCGAATAATTTTCAGGAGGTGCAAGGTTATGTTTATATTTATAGGGGTGCATATGTAAAGAAGTGTTAAAGTGAAATTAGGTTAAATGAATTTAAGGACTGCTTCATATGCACTTACCAATTAAAATTTATTTGTATGTAAGTACTCTAAAATGTAGAGGCTTACAAAGTTACAATGTTGTAAAATCATGCCATTGTTCGAACAAAGTTCTCGAATGTTGCAGGCAAAACAGCCCCTATACATTTCTAATATATGTTCACTTGAAATTCACTGCATAGAATTCCACCACCATTTGTTTCCGCTCTGCGTTGAATATTTTAAAACGATTAAATCCACGCTTAAATTCAATCTTGTTAAACGTGTTATATGAAAAGTATAATTAATATACTATCATCAAATGTGTGAAAGTTAAATTAATACGTGTTCATAGAAATCAAGTGAATGAATTTTAATTTTGAAGCATAAATATTATTATCTTTTTAAATATGAAAAGGTCATATACAAAACTTAAATTTTATACTACATTGTATTTGATAAATGTTTGAATAATTACTGTTTATATTCCGAATTTTAATTAATGTTGTTTTCAATGTTGTTTTTATTACTTCTACTTACTCTTTTTAAGCGAGAACTTAAGCTTGTTGTCCTTGCTGGGCACGATCTTCACCAGCATTCCGGAGAGGAAGTGCAGCTTGAGGTCGCGGTGCTTGAAGAAGCGCTGGAAGTTGACCACCAGGCGCTGGTTGAGCTCCTTCTCGGACATCTTTTGGTACTTCTTGCCCACCAGACTGCCCATCTGGGTCTCCTCGCCGAAGAACTGGTCCACGAAGTCGCGGGTCAGGTTGCCACTATTGGGCAGCTGGCGGCGCTCGTCCATCTTCTGCAGCACGTACAATTTCGTGCAGTGTAGCATGCTGAACTCGCGCAGGCACTCGTAGATCCGCATCGGAATCGACGCCTTAAAGTATGACACACTATTCGCCGCCGACTGACTGCGACCAGTGTCGTTCGGGTTGAGGTCTTCGCTAGGAGGCACTGCATCATGGCCATGGGATGGGTGGAAAGTCAGGCAGAGACACAGGCAAAGTCCGAGCAGGACGTGCCAGGATGAGGATCTTGCTGGGATGGCCCGCATTTTCTGTATGTTTTCCTTTCCTTTTTTCCTGCCAACACAACACAACTGCACCGCAGCAGTGACAGTGCAAAACTGAATGCACATCTTGGCCAAGAGCAGCTGCCATCCTAGCCCGATTGTCTGGCCGCCGAATGCCAGTTCTTGGCCACTACTTTCCTCCGGCCGGGCCAACTGGTTTGCGATCGCCAACGCTTGGCTGCCTCTTAGATTTAGTTTAGCGGGTCAGGCGGCAGTTGCTCTTACTTGCCACATGCCACTTGCTATATGCCCCACTTGTCTGACTTACGGCCGATACATTCGATTGTTTACAACCGAAATTCTGAATCCAGAACCCCATGAGGTCTCTAATCTCTGTCAGAATCAGCTCTTTCCTAGCTGCGAATGTGGCGCACTTGGCTCGTATTTCAGCTGCTTTAACTGTGTCACCACTGCGTCTGCAAGTAAAAGTAAATCATGCCCCAGGTGTTTGGTGAACATTGAAAATTTTCACACTTTGTATCGGAGTAAAACAACTCCATGAACACGAGTCGCTTTTTAAATATTTATGAAGCATCAAAGTATAGAATTTGTACAGTTGTATAGTAACAATAGGAAAGAAATGGTTAAAGAAATATTATAATGTAATGATTAGGTTGTTATTAGATTTTTTTCGTTAAATATTACTTTTATTTACCATCCAAGGCAATACTTAATTTTGGTTGATTAATCTGTCAGCAAATATAATCATTTGATTGATATCTTGACAGCTATTCCTGAAAAAGTGCAACTCTAAAGTATGTGTATAAAAATATATAAAATGTTTCCATCCCAATAACATAAGTCATAATAGTCGCACAACACCTTTAGTTAGGAATAAAACTTCCCTACGTAGGAGTATTCTCTATTAAATTAAACAAATTAATTGAATATCTTATGTATGTGCAAGTGTATCCATAAGACGCGTTACTTTGTTGACAGACTGCAAAATTGTAAAAATTGCTACAAAGTGGAACAATTAAAGCCGGATTCGAGATGATTGAGCGGCTGGATGGCTAGAAAATGGATATGCTTTGAATTAAGTGTCGATGGATCAAGTGAGAGTTAATTAATTAGTCTATAACCATAATGAGGTATCGGTATAGTCAAGGAGAAATCCGGGCCCCAGCCAATTATCGGTATTGCTGGTTCGACTAACAGTGACCCATTTTGATTATTTTTGGAACTGGGAGTATCAATTGACTTTCATTACGTGCGACACTGCGGAAGAGCAGTTAAAAGAACCGTAAATCACGAACGCCCTCCGCCGAATTCATAATGAGATAGAAATTTCACTTTCCATTGCGGCAGCAGAAAAACACACGCAATCAAATAAAATCCATGGGCGCTGAAAATTTCGATTATTGATTGATTAGTCTGACACTGATAACAAAGCTTTAGGATGCTATTTCATGCTTTTATTATAGTCATATCTAAATTATTTTTTTTTAAGACAACCATATTGTTTACTAGTTATTATTTATAAGAACAAATATTGGCTGAATGTTTTTCAATGATTCAATTTTAATTAATATGAATTTAAATTTATTATATCATTCAGCAGACTAATATCATTATACAATAGCAAAAATTCTCTGCTGAATGACTTTGCCATCCTGGACTTGTAATAAATAAATAAGTTAAATAAATAATTTAAACTAGACTTAAATTATTATTTGGTTGCATGCTCGCTGAGGCTGAGGTAAGTGTGAGTCCTGGCCCGCTACCAGCTCGTCCTGCATCGAATCCTGGCCCAGTCGAACGATCCTCCCTACCACTCCTTCTCCAACCAGACGGGCTGCTGGGTGTGCGAGTGGGAGTAGACCACGGGCACTGGAGCCTGGACGGGAACTTGAACCGGAGCAGCGGCATACGCGGCGGCTGCCTGGACGGGCAGAGCTCGGGAAAGCATCTGACCGATGGCCAGCACCAGCAGGATGACGCCCACGCCCAATCCCTTGATGGAGACCACGGTCAAGGCCGCCAGCAGGGTGGTGATCACGCCCACGACGAAGGCACCGGGCACCAGGGCGAAGCTGATACGCCGCAGGAAATGATGGCCAAAAGTACGGCTTTCTGGGGATAGAATAAATCAGTTAATTGCATATACAAAAAAGAAAATTTTTTTGAAGGACATTAAACAATATTTTTGTACACAAATAATTACCCATTAATATTAAATAAATTAAATTAGCTGAGTGTAAATAATAAAATGCAATAAATTCAAATTAAATAAAATATTCATTTTAATGTTTGGTATCAAAAATTGTAGTTCTTCAGTTGCCACACAGGTCAAGTTAAACAAGCACTTGAAAACGACTCTTGGTATTTTTGTTTTATTAAGATAATGATTTTTACCAAAGAAAATAATGAATATTTCCTTGAAAAATATCAAACTACTTTCTCGAGGATATTCCACTGGATAAAATAATCCGATCTAATTTTAAACCGGAGCAAGGTATTTGAAATATTTTGTGCACTAACCCGCCACATCCGAATCCGTCTCCGAGCTGTTGGCCGCCTGCTGCTGACCCAGCACCAAATCACAGGCCAAAAACAGGCACATGAGGGCAAACACAATCTTCTGGTTGGCGGCCATTTCGATTTGATTCGATGATCGTTGGTTCCTTGGGCTTGAGTATCTGGTAATCCGATTGACACTGCACTGCTCGACTGCGGCACTGGCTAACAATTGAATGGAGGGCTCACATTGACATTGGCTTTTATCGACGAGGGTCTGGGACGGCTCACTGGGCGGCTACTTGAAATTCGGCAGCCGGACATCGCGCAGCCGCAGCGTAGCACGAACGTGCGCCAAAACAAGCAAATCGTGCCGCTGCCATACGACGCATACCTCTGTCCCTACTCAAAGATGCCGGTACACTCAGAAAAATTACGCTCAGAGCATTTTTTTAGACTCAGAAAGTTTCTAAAGGTTATATTTATCCTTAAACGTTTTTAGAATACCGAACTCAAAGTTGAATATCTAGAATTGGTGATCACATTCATGTTAATAAAGGTTATTTTTACCATAATGAAAGTATTCTTAACTAAAAAATTGTATGTAATTAGCCAGAATAGAATATATTCAATTGGACTTTGAGCATTTTTTGTCAAACAGCTTAAATTCTTAAAAATCTTATTAAAGTTAGAGATGATTTTTTGATTTCATTAGAAACATTAGTTAGAAACAGTTTGAAGAATATTTCCATGACACTTGTGACATTTGAATTGTTCTTTCGAGTGCATTTCTTTGAATATGCATACAGTCTGTCATTATTTTCACTACTGCCAAGGGCCCTTTTTCGGGCCCAACGCATTTGGGGGTGTGCTGCATAGGAACTTGGACATGGAACTTGAACATGGAACTTGGACATGGGCATTCTTTCACGACGCGTGTCTATATTGAGGGCAGCACCCAAGGCCGTCGCCACTTCTCATCGGCGACCAATTCGCTTTCATTTTTTGTCGCTGGCCGATAATGATTTATCAGCTAATTAACAATGAGGTACTGCATTTTAATTTATAATCTATACCTGTGGTTAAAAACGGCAACTATGTTTCACCCTTTGGCTAACGGATTTTCATTGATGAATGGTTGGCATACCACGCCCTCGACACTGCAATTCACTTTCATTAACGGATATAAATAAAAATGCAAATATCAAGCTTTAACTGTCTGCAGGCCTGCCATTTTGTTTAAATGTATTAAAAGAGGCCCACAACTTTTCCACGTTTTATTCTTCATTATAAAAATTACTTTAGTTTTAAGCTTCACAGAGTTTTATTTGGTTTCCAAACTCATATTTATAGGTAACTAGGTCTGAAAAAGCCGTCTAGTAAATGTCTTAATCTTGTTTGTATACACATATAGTTAAAAATGTTATAGTTATAGTTAAAAGTGCCTTAAACTTTTTTTATGAATATTAAGATGTTTTTAGTGACTAAACTTGGCGACCATATTTTTAACACTTTGTTTGGCGTGTTTTGGCTATCATCTGAAATGGATTAGCCGACTTTTTATTGAAAAAAAGATAAGATTAGCTGGTGTGTTATCGAACTGTGACATGGTGGAAATAAAACATAGCCATGCCGTCCATGTTATTGGGGAAATAAAACCATGACTACCGCGATCGCTCAGCTTAAAGATTTCCCTATTGCAAATTGGAGTATTGGTTTGCTAATTGTGTGAAAGTAAATTAGGAGACCAAATACGTAAAGCGGATTTTTCGCAACGGCCAACGGATAGAATTTACTTTCTACTCTGGATTTCCAGAGTGATCTGCCGCCTGCGCCAGTTTTGTCAACAACTTTCCCATGCGATGGCCGTCAGCGTTAATTGGAGGAGTCTGAGCCGTGGGGTAAAGAATGGAGTCGGGAACCGTTAGCAGGCTACTTAGAGAGCCGGCGTTATTTATGGCCAATGCCCATGCCAGTGTCGCAGCGGTGACCACGGGGTGACCACGGGGTCCAGGGGCAATTAAAGCTAAAAGAAATCAATGAGCGAGATCACTGAGAAATTGGAGGCCTACTCCAGATATTTTTCCTCTAACACAGACATCGGCTTGGACGAGTGGCAATTTAATTGAAGAGGATCCAGCACAAGAATCGTGTTCTAGCGGCGGCAGCCCGCCACAGTGCAACCTGCAACCTGCAACAGGTTGCTGATGCAGCGGCCACATTGCGGCGACTCTTTCAGTTGTCTGTGCTCAATTCCAATGCCAATTCAAGCCTCAGAATGCAGCTAGCTCTGGCTTTTCTGCAGCTTCTCTGCCGCTTTTCCACCGCGTTTCTTCAGCTTTCTTCGGAGTTGATAAAACGCTTGGCTACCGCCGATCGTGCCACATTTTGCATCTGACCACTGCAGCGGCAACACGAAGACTCGGATGCAGCAGAGATGAGCGGCCTGGTGAGATTCCTTTTACTGAGCGTGCTCTGCACCTCGCTGGCCCTTGGCCAGGACACCGATTCCGGTGGTGGCCAGGAGACATCCACCTCCAGCCAAGAGGCGGCTCGGGGATTGGCCAGCAGCTATGAGCCGGAGGACAAGCAGGCGCTGCGCAAGAACTCGCACATCTTCATGGGCATCTACAAGAACTACAAGAGCACCTATCTGGGCAACAAGACGACCAGTGAGTACAAGAAACGACTGCGGGATCGCGTGAGTGCCCCTCCGATGTCCGAGAATGAGAACCCGGAGTCGGGGGATCCCGAGCAGTTGGACCCCAGGGATTCCCTGGCCCAGGAGATCCGCCAGGACGCCCAGGCGGAGGCTCTGATGGAGACCCAAACGGAGTCCACAAACTACGATGACAAAGAGTCCCTGGCTGGCAAAAAGCGGCGCAAACGCAAGCGCAAGGATCGAAACAAGCGGCGGGATGAGTTGGAGGTGGAATCCGAAACGGATCAGCCCGATCCTTCCCCGGAAGACGAGAGAATAGAGCGTTATCATGTGGGTCCCGGGCTAAATGTCAGTCTGGACATGAGCAACGACATTGTGCACGTGAAGCTGGATGGCGAGAATCTCAAGGAGATCATGGGAGCTCGCTGGCTCACCCTAGATAACAGCGAAGAAGGTGGGTTGAATAGGAATAAGACTATTTAAAATTCAACTTAATATTATATTCTCACTAGGTCGCGGCAAGAAGTACGACATGATCACCAAAGTCTTGCCACTCTTCATCCTCCCCTTCCTCATCCAATCGGCCATTGTTCCATTTCTGGTCACCAAGCTGAAGTTGCTGTTGGTCAAGTCCATTCTGGTGGGCAAGCTGGCCATCTTCCTGCTGATCATCTCGGCCATAAAGAATGGCAACAAGATGGTGCAGAGCTACGAGGTGCCCTCCTACTGGGCCGGCGAACCAAGTCGGCGGTCCGAGCTGGCCGCCGCTGCCTCCTCGGCGGCTGCCGCCTACAATGGCTACCGGGTGGAGGGCAAGCCGACCACCTGGATCAGCTAGACCCTCCCACTCCATCTCTCATTGCTATAAGTTTCGGTTCTAGGCTTTTAGTGCTTCGAAATAAACATATACAGAAATCGGGTTGATTAACTGACTTTTTATTTGGGCAGGAAGAATGCATAATGACATGCGGAAAGACTGCCCTTTCTTAATAGCTGTCTGTCCTCATTCTATATTTTAAGCATTGTCAAAAAACAGCCTTGTTAAGGGGTTCCTGATTTATTAAATATTAAATTATTAGCTTTCATTTCGTAGATAGCATTTTTTGTGAATGAAAGTCTAAAAGCCCCGATAATCTTTAATGCGGGCACCTGCAGCGAAACCGATGATATAATGGCAGACTCCATAAATTAGCTAAGGCCCATAAACTCAAAGAAAAGTGATTGCAGAACTTTGTATGTATGTATATATTAAATTGCGTATTTATTGATAGCATTTGTTGTGGCAATAACTTAGTGGTGGAAACAAATAAATTAACTTAAATTAAGGCAAAGTTTTCTAACAGGGCTCGACCAGCGCCCCAGTCCTGGACTCCATCCCCGCATTTATTTTCAGTAGCAGGAGTACTGCTTCTCCAGCTGGACACACACGTCGCACTGGAGGCGGAATCCCCAGACCAGCTTGCAGTTGCACCTCCGCTCGGATCTGATGTGCTGCGACCTGACCCGATAGCCGCAGACCCGGCACAGCTGTTGGCAGGAGAGGCGCTCCTCCAGCGAACCACTGCCATCCTTGGTGCACTTGCGACCCCGCGTTCCCTTCCACAATCCATGCGCCTCCGGCTCGCAGTAGTTGGGCGAATCCTGCATGAAGACCAGCGAGTCCAGGGGAATGTTCTCCCACATGATCTTGAGGTTGCTGCTGGCGCTGTCCAGTTGGATGGCATCGTCGTACATCTGGAGGAGATCCTGGGCGATGGCCTCGAAGGGCTTCAGCACAGCCACACACTCCTCCTCCTGGCACTTTCCATGCACTGATCCTGGTTGCTTGCACCGGCACTCCTGCTCCAGTGAGTTCTGTAGTAGAGCTCCGACCACCCGTCGATTGTGTCCAGTGGCTCCTGATCCCGATCCGAAGTGCTTCTCGTACTGTTCCAGCGCTTTTTTGGGCTCATGGGCACAGGGAACGTTTAGGGCACTTTCGGTGCATCCACATCCGGCGATGACGCCATTGGCGCAATCCTTGGTCAGGGTGTGAACAATAGCTGCCATGGCAATGACCGCCACATAGACATCCTCCCGATTCGGCGAGGATTCCTCAGGCTTTGTGTGCCTCTCCACGAAATCCGCGCTTGGACAGTTCCATCGCTGCCACTGGAAACTCTGCTGGCAACTGTCGAGGGCCTGCTTCAGACCCTTGTCGGAAATGTCCTCCCAGGAGAGTGGAGCCTGGAACTGGGTGTACTGGTAGTAGTTCATGGGCTCCAGAACTGCCGCCAAACTGCTTGTAACTCCCAAAAATAAAGTGATTGCGAAGAGCATGTTGTGTGTTTGGTGTTATCTCGGTGACGTCGTTGGTTCGACTGATTGATGAGAATGCTGGGCAGCACACTTAAATAGTCCGGCGATCAGGGCGCCCTCCTGGGGCCGGCCCGTGGGAAATTCGGGCCTGGTCAAAAAACCGGAAATTTGCCATTTTCCACTTGGAAATTTGGCATGGACAGGGGGTAGAAACTCCCGGCAGAGGACAAATAAACCCACTGGGTTGCCAGCGCGACGCAATTGCGGAGCAGCCCAGTTTCCTGCAGCGCCGTCTACCTGCCTTCGTCCTGGGATCCTGGGAGGATCCTCTTCCCCGCTGCGGGCAACTTTCCCACGCTTAGGCAGGTAGATCTCAAGCGGCGCCCGACGAGCTCATGAATGAAACCCAGCCAATTCCATTCAGTCCGCCCGGATTTCCCCAAACTCCCACTGCACAACATCAATGTCCGATTCGCTTAAGGGTACGGGTTCGATTTCGGGTTTGTTTGGGTTTTGGACTGGCCAAGCCAATTATATAACAAAACATATGACAAACAGTAAACATAATCTGGAAAATTAATTGCGCTTTGTGGTGAGCCGACGGAAAGAGCCAACGTTGTTGCTATACTCAGCCAAAGTTAATTCCTAGGATTTGGCCAAATGATCTTTAATACCCCTAGAAGCGAGTGATGATAACGAAAATTGTTTAAGGATTTTTCGCGCTGATAATGTATTTATCTACCACAAAAGACGAAATCCTTGAATTACAATTATTTTTCGTAATTTTGTTGTCCTTTTTGGCAATTAACGATTCGATTGAACAAGTACTTTTACTACGAATAAAACTGCTATCTAAACACCCCTTTCAAACATAGTTATTTACTATTTATGAACAAATTTTAAAAGTTTAAGATACAAGATAACATTATCTATTTACTATTTTATATAATCACTAATAGAAAGATACTAAATGAGAAGAAAAGCTGAGTACGACTTAACCCTGAATAAATTATCTTCGCAATGAAAGCTAATCAGCACTTGAATGATACCGCAAAACTACTAAGGCAATTATACCACTTTAAATTACACGTTAATAAATAACTATTTTATAAATTTTCTGTTTGACCGACGATCATTAAAAATAATAACCAAATATATTCATTGGGAACTTCCTTTTTCCAGCTCGCATTTCACGGCTTTGTGAAGTCATTATAAGTGCTTCAATTCCAGGCGTTGCGAAAACGTGTGCGGAAATTTCGATGTTTGGGTTTTAGCACAATGAAAATACCGATTCTCTAATTAGGTCGAATGTCGCGTATGCATAGCACCGGAAAAGGGTTTTTTAGGACCTAAGCGCCGGGTAAAACAGAAACAGAAAGGGACGGCGGATCGCAGGTAGTAAAAAATTTGCTCAATTGGTCTAAGTAAGCCTGGGTATCGAGGAACACACATGGACCTTGACACTGGAAGTTCCTCGGGGCTCAGCAGTCAGCTTGGAATTCCGACTTGCCGAGGAAAAACGCGCCAGATCTTAGGCATTTTCGAAGTTTAATCAAAGCGCCATGACAGGGTCTATAAATTCTGGCGATTGTCAGCCGCACACATTTGTCCCGGCTAATACCTCGATTAGATTAGCAATCTGTGAACGCAAGCAGCCAATTAAGATATAGGGGCCCACTTGAGGCTCTCCCACCTTACCTTACATGTCACTTTTCCAGCGCGGAGACAGCTTAGTTTCGCTTTGGACTCCGCCCGCGCCGGATTAACGTGGCCATGATAGTCACCGCCAAGTTGGTAGCCATCGGCCTGAGCCTGGCGCTCACGGCCTTCACTGTGTCGACCATTGTCCTGGCCGTCCAGAAGTCAAATCTTAAGAGTGATCTGCGCGATGCCCAGGAGAAACTGGACCTCCTTGAGGCGGGGTTTACCTCAACGGCTGCTCCGACAACCCCAACCACTGCGAGTCCTGGCAGCACCAGCAGTCCCAGTACCGGGGAGCCTGGAAGCACTAGTAGTCCGGAACCCACTAATGCTCCTGGAAGCACAGCATCTCCGGGATCCACTGCAACACCGGGATCCACTGCATCTCCGGGAAGTACTGTCTCCCCAATTCCAACTACAGTCGAGCCCGGCACCACTGCTGCGCCGGTGGAGAAAATCGACTACCGACTGCCCGGCAATCTGATACCCAGCCACTACGATCTCTACCTGTTCCCCGATATCGAGACGGGCGAGTTCAGTGGTCAGGAGACCATAACGATTAAAGTTGTAGAGGCCACGGACAGGATAGTCTTGCACTCCCTCAACCTGAACATTTCGAGTATGTCACTATTAAACACGGGCAGTAACACTTTGGAGATTGTGGAGAAATCGTTCGACCCCGTCAGGGAGTTCCTGATCCTCCAGCTGAACGAGCCGCTGGCACAGGACAGGGAAGTGAATCTGCATCTCGGGTTCGAGGGATCCATGGCCAACAAGATTGTGGGCCTGTACAGCTCGTCGTATGTGAAGGAGGACGAGACCCGCAAGTGGATTGCCACCTCCAAGTTCGAGCCCACCTACGCCCGCCAAGCGTTTCCCTGCTTCGATGAGCCGGCTCTGAAGGCTGAGTTCACCATTACCCTGGTGCATCCGGCCGGGGAGGATTACCATGCCCTGTCCAACATGAATGTGAGTTCGACTGTCAATCAGGGGGCCTTCCAGGAGGTCACCTTCACGAAGAGTGTGCCCATGAGCACCTACCTGGCCTGCTTCATCGTCTCGGACTTCAGCTTCAAGCAGGTGGAGATCGACACCAAGGGCATCGGGGAAACCTTCAACATGAGCGTCTACGCCACTCCGGAGCAGCTTGACAAGGTGGATCTCGCAGTGACCATTGGCAAGGGGGTCATCGAGTACTACATCGACTACTTCCAAATCGAGTATCCCCTGCCCAAGCTGGACATGGCCGCGATTCCGGACTTTGTCTCCGGTGCCATGGAGCACTGGGGATTGGTCACCTACCGCGAAACATCGCTTTTGTACGATGCCGAGACGAGTTCCGCGAGCAACAAGCAGCGCATCGCCAGCGTAATTGCCCACGAATTCGCTCACATGTGGTTCGGAAACTTGGGTAAGTTCAATTATTGCTCTATTAACTTGGGTTTTTATACAAATTTAAGAGATTTGAATACCTGTTAGACTTGCACCTTAATTATGAGTAACCGTAAAGTCCCATAGTCTTTAAAGGCCGACAAAGTCTCCATTCAAGAACAAATTTTGGTGACAGATTGGGGCTTAAATTATGGTAAATTGGTATTTAGCTGGTGTTCCAGAAAAACAAGACTTAAATATTTCGATTTCTTTAGTGATCAATAATAAGTGTCAAGAAACACTGTTCTTAATAGAGTTAAAAATATTCTTTCACAGCGCTAACTATTGTTCAATCATCTTTCAAATGTAGCGTAGATTAAATTATTTCATTTATTTAACCAATTTAAGTATTATATCACCCCCTTCTTAACTATATTTTTAGTAACCATGAACTGGTGGAATGATCTTTGGCTAAATGAAGGTTTCGCTAGCTTCATCGAGTATCTGGGCGTGGATGCCGTCTACCCAGAATGGCAAATGGTAAGTGACCCCAGGGAAACTTAAGGATACCCCATCTAATTTGCAATCCTTAACCTCCATAGCGTGATCAATTCATAGTGAGCACTCTGCATGCCGTACTTACCTTGGATGGAACACTGGGCTCCCACCCGATCATCCAGACCGTGGAGAATCCCGACCAGATCACAGAGATCTTCGACACCATCACCTACTCCAAGGGATCCTCTCTGGTGCGCATGCTGGAGGATTTCCTGGGAGAGACCACCTTCCGCCAGGCTGTTACCAACTATCTGAACGAGTACAAGTACTCCACGGCGGAAACAGGCAACTTCTTCGCAGAGATCGACAAACTGGATTTGGGCTACAATGTCACAGACATCATGCTGACATGGACGGTGCAAGTAATCCCACAGATGTCCCATGAAATTGGCGAATATTATTCAAACCAATTTGTGGTACTCTCTTTTCGCAGATGGGTCTGCCGGTGGTCACGATCACGAAGGTCTCCGACACTGAATACAAATTGACGCAGAACCGCTTCTTGTCCAACCCGAACGACTATGACGCAGATCACGAGCCCTCGGAATTCAAGTGAGTGTGCAGAACTTATTGCCTGGATGGTATCTGATCGCGAATTTCGCACATACATTATCCGCACAGCTACCGCTGGTCGATCCCCATCACATATACCACCAGTGCGGAGTCGGTGGTGCAGCGCCAATGGTTTAACCACGACCAGAGCGAAAGTAAGTGGGGCCATCTGTATGCAGATCCACAGTTCCTTCAGATTGCTGATCTCTGAATGTTTTGTTTTTGGCAGTCACTGTAACCCTGCCATCGGCTGTCCAGTGGATTAAGTTCAACGCCGATCAGGTGGGCTACTATCGGGTGAATTACGAGACCGATCTGTGGACCGCTCTGGCCGATCAACTGGTGGCTGAGCCCAGCTCCTTCAGCGCTGGAGATCGCGCCTCCCTCCTCAACGACGCCTTCGCCCTGGCCGACTCCACCCAGTTGCCCTATGAGACGGCCTTTGAGCTGACTAGGTACTTGGCCAAGGAGGCTGACTATGTCCCCTGGAGCGTGGCTGCCTCGCGTCTCACTTCCCTGAAGAGAACCCTCTACTACACCACCAGCTATGCCAAGTACAAGAAGTATGCCACAGCCTTGATTGAGCCCATTTACAAGGATCTCACCTGGACAGTTGGCGAGGATCACTTGGATAAGTAAGTGATCTCTCCACATCATTGGAGAGATCATTAACTTCGTTTAGACAATGCATTAACTTTACTAATCTCCAGTCGCCTTCGTGTCACCGCCTTGAGTGCCGCCTGTTCCCTGGGTCTGGAATCCTGCCTCTCTGAGGCCGGAGTGCAGTTCAGCACATGGCTGGCAAAGCCGGAGGATCGCCCCAAGGCCGATGTCCGTGAGACCGTCTACTACTACGGAATCCTCTCTGTGGGCGACCAGGAAGTCTGGGACGCAGTGTGGGAGCTCTTCGTGAACGAAGCCGATGCCAGCGAGAAGTCCAAGCTGATGTATGGCCTATCTGCGGTGCAAATTCCTTGGATCTTGCAGCGCTACATTGATCTCGCCTGGAACGAGGAGTACGTGAGGGGTCAGGACTACTTCACCTGTCTCACCTACATCTCGGCGAATCCGGTGGGAGAGTCCCTGGTCTGGGACTATGTCCGGGAGAACTGGCAGCGTCTGGTGGACCGATTTGGCCTGAACGAGCGCTACCTGGGCAACCTGATACCCTCGATCACGGCCCGCTTTAGCACCCAAACCAAGCTCGAGGAGATGGAGCAGTTCTTCGCCAAATATCCGGAGGCCGGAGCGGGCACAGCTGCCCGAGTGAGGGCTCTGGAGACGGTCAAGAACAACATCGTTTGGCTGGCCGAGAATCTGGAGGGCGTGGATGCCTGGCTGGACAAGCAGCAACTGTAGAAAAGTCCGAGGAGGAAGTGGTTTGCGATCGCGGTCCGCTTTTAATTTGGACTCACCTAATTGCCATTATTAAGCAAAAATATGCCGAACAAGTGGAAATAAAGATAAGCTAGTTATGGGAAATTACAGCTCTATAAATAAGCAATTATCCATCGGGCTGATTGCGACGATTTGATAACTTGGTTTTCGATGGGTGTGACTAATGGACATGACCTGATTGATTGACATTTATTGATGGTCCAAATATCGGTCCTAAAATTTACAAGCAATGGAAAGTTAGTTAAAATATGATGAAACCGCCATAATAAAATATATTCCTTTTGAAAATCAGAAATAAACTGGGCACTTAATAAGATTGCATTTAATTTGAGACACCTAAACTGTATGAAATTTTAATACAAGAATCGCCTTACAGTTTGTGTTAGCAAGAATAATTGTTAGTTAAGGTAAGTCGTAAAAGATTCGGATGATTAGCCAGTATTTTTTTTTTTAATTCTTTTTTTAAAGCTAATTCAGATGTTAGTTAGATAATATACTTATATTGCATAATTATTAAAAAAATACGTTTTGTTATTTTTTCTTCAGTGACGCGAAGCGAAATAAATTTTTAATGGTGAATTGAGATTTTAAGGACAGAGAAAAGTGTGAGATTGGCTTTAATAAAATGATTAAAACATAATTCATTATATTGTGTCATAAGCCACGCGAGTGGATACGTTTCGTTCCCGAGATCTCTGGTTTTTACCCAATCGTCCGGTTGACCGTAATCGCGGTTTTTGGCCAATCTTTATCGCAATCAGTTGGGCGAACATAAACCGATTTGAGTGCCCATAATCAGTTCGAGCCGAATGTTGGGCAACAAGGGGATAGTGCTGGAGCCACCGACTAACCCGCTAGTTAGTCGCTCGCGATAGCTGCGATTGCAAAGATGTTCTTGACGGGCTATTGGCTGCAGGTGGTGCTCTCCTGGGCGGTGGTGGCCTTCGCCACGGCCACCGTGGTGGTGGCGGTGCAGAAGGCTCAGCTGGCGAAGGACCTGCGCGATGTGCAGGACAAGATCGATATTTTCGAGGAGTGGAATGGAGAGAGTCGCTATCGGACGAAGCGTGAGGATACGGTGAGTAACAGAGGGGCTTAGCTAATCAGTTGAATTAGATTACTGATATCCCCTTGCAGATTGATTACCGCCTGCCCACGGCGCTGGTGCCCACGCACTACGAACTCTACTGGCATCCGGACTTGGAAACGGGCAGCTTCACCGGCCAGCTGAGGATCAGGATCCAGGTGGTGGAGGAAACCAACCAGATTATCCTGCACTCCTATCTCCTGAACCTTACAAGTGTCTATGTTCTGAACCGCGAAGTCGAGACGTTCGAACTGGAGGAGGAGCGACAGTTTCTGATCATCACCATGACGGAAGTGCTGCCGGTGGATGCTACGATTACCCTGGGAATCATATTCAATGGCCAGATGAAGGACAAGCTCGTGGGTCTCTACAGCAGTACCTACCAAAATGAGGCGGGAGCCACAAGGTGATTGTTAAATATTAATGCCTAAAAGTATGCAGTAAGAATAGAGACATTTCGATTTAAATATTTATTAGTTAATGTATACTAGCTTCTACTTTATTTTAAGCTTAATCTTAAATGTAAAATTCCTTCTTTGCAGAACTATTTCCACCACCAAATTCGAGCCCACCTATGCCCGCCAAGCCTTCCCTTGTTTCGATGAACCTGCACTGAAAGCTACATTCGCCATCACAGTGGTGCATCCCAGTGGTGCCTACCATGCCGTTTCCAATATGCAGCAAACGGTAAGTGCGATATTAATATTAAATTACATTGATTCCCTTGAAAATCCAATCAGGAATCCAATTACTTGGGCGACTACACGGAGGCAATCTTCGAGACCAGCGTGTCGATGAGCACCTACCTGGTCTGCATCATTGTGTCCGACTTCGCCTCCAAGTCCACCACAGTGAAGGCCAATGGCATTGGCGAGGACTTCTCCATGCAGGCCTATGCCACCTCCCATCAAGTGGACAAAATCGACTTCGCCCTGGAGTTCGGAGCAGCTGTCACCGAGTACTACATCCAGTACTACAAGGTGCCCTACCCGCTGACCAAACTGGACATGGCCGCCATTCCCGACTTCGCTTCGGGGGCGATGGAGCACTGGGGACTGGTCACCTACAGGGAGACTGCCCTGCTCTACGATGACAGCTACAGTTCCACGGCCAACAAGCAGTCGATTGCCGGAACCCTGGCCCACGAGATTGTCCATCAGTGGTTCGGAAATCTGGTCACCATGAAGTGGTGGAACGATATCTGGCTAAACGAGGGATTCGCCCGCTTCATGCAGTACAAGGGAGTCAACGCAGTCCACTCGGACTGGGGAATGGTAATATATCGTTATTTGATAGCATATAAATACTGAATCTCTATAATTTCCCTATCCAGATAGAGCAGTTCCAAATCGTGGCCCTGCAGCCCGTTTTGGTCTACGATGCCAAGCTATCCTCCCACCCAATTGTTCAGAAGGTTGAGACTCCCGATGAGATTACAGCCATTTTCGACACAATCAGTTACGAAAAGGGTGGCTCCGTGATCCGCATGCTGGAGACCCTTGTTGGGGCCGATAAGTTCGAGGAGGCGGTGACCAATTACCTGGTGAAGTACCAGTTCAATAACACGGAGACCGATGATTTCCTCACCGAAGTGGACGCACTGGTAGACGACTTGGATGTGAAGAAACTGATGCTCACCTGGACCGAACAGATGGGATATCCGGTTTTGAATGTTTCCAAGGTGGCCGCAGGTTTTCAGATCACCCAGCAGCGATTCCTCTCCAATCCAGTTAGTTACGAGGAGGCTCCGGAAGACAGTGCCTACGGGTACAAGTGGAGTGTTCCGATCACCTATACTGCCGAAGATGGTTCGGAGGGCAGCCTGATTTATGACTACAATGAGGACACCGTAGGCATTGCCTTCAACGCCGATGTTCAGTGGGTCAAGTTGAATGTCCACCAGACGGGCTACTACCGTGTGAACTACGAGGAGAGCCTGTGGACCCTGCTCATCCAGGAGTTGACCAGCAATCCCGATCGATTCGACATCGCGGATCGTGCCCACCTCTTGAACGATGCCTTTGCTCTGGCGGATGCCAGCCAACTTTCCTACAAAGTTCCCCTGGAGATGACCGCGTACTTGGGCCAGGAGCGTGACTTTGTGCCCTGGTATGTGGCCGCCGACAAGCTCGTCTCCCTCCACCGCAGCCTCATGTTCAGCGAGGGATACGTGTCCTACCTCTCCTACGCCAGGACTCTGATAACCGGAGTGTACGAGGAAGTGGGCTGGACTGTGGATGCCAACAATCACCTGAAAAAGTAAGATATGCTTTTAGGTAGAGGTTTTCGAGTTAAGAGGTGGATAGATCATTGCTGAATTTTAAACTATTTTGCTAGGACACACAAATTTAAATTGGGCTTATTTCATGTCTAGATACCTATTAAGAAGAAAATATGTGGCATTCTTAAAAAGAGTTTGTTGGATTATTTTATTATCTTATACTAAGATATTGAATTTGGTTTCAAACGGTCCGATTTTATATATAGGTAGATGTTGCATTTGTAAAATTATTTCATCCGGGGTCGAAGTTCTTAAATATCTTAGTCAAATTCACAATACCCATAATATTCTAAGAAACTGTTATATCTATCAGGAATGTATAGAACAGATAGAAAAGAATTTAATTTTGTAGCAACTACAAATTTTGTAGATTCTTGTCATAAAGTATTTGTTCCATAATGCTGCTTAGTACCGCTGTGACTGTTTACGAGAAGAGTCACCAATAAGGGAACATGATATATAAATCTCCACCTTCCCGTTCCCCATTGCAGTCGCCTGAGGGTTTCCATTTTGTCCGCTGCCTGTGCTTTGGGTGTGCCGGATTGCTTGGAGCAGGCTGCCCAGCGCTTCAACGCCTTCCTCCAGAACCCGACCAGCCGACCTGCCCCCGATCTTCGCGAGATCGTCTACTACTATGGAACGAAGCAGTCCACCAGCCAGTCGAATTGGGAGCAGCTGTTCCAACTCTTCGTGGACGAAGACGATGCCAGCGAGAAGTTGAAACTGATGTATGGACTGTCTGGCGTTCAGAATAGCCAGCTTCTCTTCAAATTCCTGGCACTGGCTGGGAATGAGAGCATTGTCCGCTCCCAGGACTACTTCACCTGTGTGCAGTACATTGCCGCCAATCCCGTGGGTGAACCTGTCGTTTGGGAATTCTACCGCGAGCAGTGGCCACAGCTCTCCGCCCGTTTTAGTTTGAACGACCGCAACCTAGGCCGACTTATCGCCCAGATCACGGCCAACTTCAGGAGCTCCATTAAGCTGGAGGAGGTGCAGCAGTTCTTCGAGAAGTACCCGGAATCCGGAGCAGGAGCCAATTCCCGATTGGTGGCCGTGGAAACTATCAAGTACAACATCGAGTGGCTGGCCAGGAACCGTGCTGACATCAGCGACTGGCTGAGTGGAACCGCCTCGCCGCTGACCAAGAAAAACCAATTGTAAACTATATGTAGCATATTAAAAAACAAGCCAATTAACCACTAATTAGAATTGCATAAGAAACCAGCGAAATTTCCGTTTGAGTTCAATAAAATGAAATTCCAAAATCAAACCATAAATAAACCACCATATTTTTCATTTTATCTGGGCGAGTGGCGATTTCCATGGCACCCCATGAAAATGCCGTAGATAGGGGTTACGAGTATATGGTCAGAATGGAATCATGACCGTGCGTAATTATCCCGAGACTGTCCAGTCATAAAACACGATATATGGCCTTGTTGTAAACATAAAGGTACAAGACCACAAGCTTATGGTCTAACATAAACCGAATTTATCTGGTCACGAAGCTATATAGTATATAGTCTAGATATCGGCCAGCAATCTGTTTTATTAAGTCCAAATTATGGGGTCAGATTCGCGACTTGCATTCAGTTTCCAGTTTGGCGTCCAGCCTAGTGGAAGCAGTTGAGCAGTGAGGAAAGAATATCCCTAGAAAATGTTTGCCTGTGAGTTCGATATAAAGGAGTCCAAAGGAACGAAAACTAAAATGAGTCAATTGCAGTTGTGACGGCCAAGTCGGTGGCCATATTTTTGGGCCTGGCCTCCACGGCTTTTTGCGTTGCCACCATTGTCCTGGCCGTCCAGAACGCGGATCTGGAGAACGATCTGCAGGACGCCCTCGATAAGATTGACGCCCTGGTTGCAGACACTACTTCCACCTCCACGACGACGACCACGACAACTGCAAGTCCTGGTGTCACAACTCCAACTGGCAGTACCGGCGATGGCGGTGTCACAAATCCAAGTAGTAGCACCGCTCCAGGAGAAACCTCTCCAGGAGAAACCTCTCCAGGAGTAACCTCCCCAGGAGGGGAATCATCCTCCAGTTCCGGAACTACTTCCACCAGTGCTAATCCCATCTACCCCACCCTTCCCACAGGACTACCTGATCCTGAAAAGGTAAGTGGGATATAGGTTCAGTATTAAGTCTCTATCATCCTATTCTTTTTTTCACTATATATGCTAAGATAATCTAACATTATTCAAGGGTATTTCTCAAGATATTTTTTAATTTCTGCCATAAAAGTTTAGGCACTAGTCTACTGCCATATATCAAGCTGAAGGTTCAGAAAACCCCCACGTCGGATAGGAAAAATTTCCCAACTGGTCAGTGGTGGTCATAAAGTCGGCATAGCCACTAATTTCACATTTATCAAGTTAACATTGGTCATTTCAAGTGCTTATCGCCCGGTAAACGGTTTTTTCTTTTTATCATAATAAGAAATTTTGTTCCGCCAGAACTTGGCTAATTCTGCCGTTTTAGTTAGTTTAATTGCGGCCAACACAGAGTTAAGAGTCACAAAAATGGGCAACAAAAAGGAGAGAATAAAGGGTATTTATTCGATTTGAAGGCAGTTTGCCAGCAAGAACTTCAGATATATATATTTTCATAGACTTCATCACTGCGGAACGTGTGGCTATATTCTTTGGCCTGCTGTCCACATGTCTGATCGTTGCCCTCGTAATTGTGGTCGTTCACAGGGATAATTTGTGGATAGAGTTGGACGAAGCCAAAAGGAAGTTGGATGTGCTGGAAGACTACATTCAAAGCCACTTGTTTAATACCATTTCTAATAGATAGACAACAGAAATGAGGGTTTTTACATTTTATTTTAAGATATACTATGTTTTGAATAATGACATCAGGATAATAAAGGAAATATAATGTAGAAACGGTAGTTTTACAGTCCATGCTTTCCCATGGATATTAAATCTCACAAATAGGTAACTTAATTTCACAATACGCAACCCCTTTATTCCCCCCTAAATGTTGCAACGAAGTCCACTTTGTTTACGACATGACCACAATTTTTTTGCCATTTCTTATCGCCACCTTATCATGGCATTGCTCACTTTATAGGGCCACAGTATATTATCGAAGGGGTGGATATTGAATAATCTTTACAACACCCGCAGATCGAATGGCGCCTGCCCACGGAGATTAAGCCGATCAAGTACAAGCTGTTTATCCAGCCTGATCTGAAGACCGGTGCCTGTGAGGGAACCGTCTCCATCCAGTTCCAGCTGGAGGCCGTCACCAACCTGATCGTCCTGCACGCCAAGGATATCAATGTGCACAGCATCAGCATCCTGAACATGATGGCGCGCATGCGCATAGCCATCGACGAAATTACCCTGGATGTCAGTCGTGAGCTGATCTTAATTAAGATGAGGGAGGTCCTTAGCATGAGCAAGGCCTACACTTTATCCGCCAGTTTCGATTACAGTCTGACCAGTCTAACGGGCGCCTACATCAGCAACTATACAAATGCTGAGGGTGTAGAAAAGTAAGTAGCCTTACTATATTATCAAGAGATCAGTATTATTAAGTATTACGTTTAATTTGTACAGTAAGCTTACTTATTTACTATAAATTTTGAACTAATTTAAAACAAAATCAAATAACAACAAAATACAGGAAGACCTTTAGCTTTGTAAAAAACATACATAACTGAGCTTAGATGAGATAATAATTTTATACGATTCTAAATTATTTACTAATTTAAGAAAATTTTTAAAAGAGGTTCAGGATCCCCTTTGTCCAGATTTTAGTATTGGGAACCTGTCTTGAAGGTATACATATGCAGATTAAATTTAATTTTATTTCCCGTTAATTCATAATCAAATTAAAAATTAATTAGTTATAAGCCATTATTAATCGTTCAGTGGTATATTTAAACTATTTTTCTGGATCAGAATATCATGGTTAACTGCTATGATATTGACCGTGTATGTGTGCTTATCATACAATCCCCAGCATAATTTAGAATACCCCCAATGTTGGAGTTTACCGCTTGTTTGGGGCCATGCAAAAGCCGGTCTCAGCTGATGAGCGAGCTTTCCGGCGAAGCTCAAAGATCGTGGCCGCTTTCGAGCCGCGCTTCAGTTGGAAGTTCAAAGCCGAGCGCGACGGTCGCAAAAGAGCGGCTCGCGTCTTGAAATACGATCTCAGTTTCCCGCAGTACGATTCTCAATTTCCCTTCTCCGTTCTTCCCGGTTTTTTGTGTGCCCGCTTACGATTTGAATCAAGAATGATATCTGTCCGCCAATTGCCGTTATCAAATTAGCTGAGAGAATATTTCTCGGACCCGGCAAAGTGACAATTAATGCCATTCGTAGACAAAACGTGACACGAAAAGCTGTGATTGCAACTGTAAATCAAGTAAAAGGCATAGTGCGAAATGCTACAAGAATAATAGATAATAAGTGCCCCAGATCAATCAGATACCGTTGAGTCCGCTCCGAAAGCTCCATTGTCACACATTCCGTTATGCGATCGAGATTCGAGTTTTAATTGGACGCATTGATGCGATTACTAATTTTAATATTTGCTGAAATGCGAACGACCACCGGATTCTATGCCAACTTTGACTTTCAGCAGGCAGTCCGATAAACCACGAGCCATCACAAGCTGGCCAAGAGAACTCCACATGGCCGAATCAAACAGGTTGCACCGCTCCCCCTTTACTCCCCTTTCCCCACCGTTTGGCCCGCTGCAAACAGGCTTGGAGCCAAATGCATACATAGTTCACTTGCCGCGCAAGTTCTTGGCCTTAAATCGGCCACTGTCGCTGCACTGGGAAAACAATTGGGAAAACATTTTCTTGATAAAAGATCCAGAGGGCGTGGCTTACCTTTTGGACATTTCAAAATATCTAAGTGATATTTTAAGCTTATTAAAGTTTATTTTCGTGTTTTTGTGTATAGCTTTTATCTCTGATCTTCTTTGCATTCCATAATGCATTTGCAATCTTAATTGTTCTCATCCAATTATATTTGAATGTGATTTATCAAGCTGATAGCTAAAATCTCAAAAGTTTTCTTGCATTATATCTTAATTTTGATACATTTATAATTTTATTTGAGAGGCTGTTCATATTCCCTTGCCTTTTCTAATAAAATCTGTCATTTTTATCGTATTAAAGCTATTTAATGTTTGTTTAGTGTTCTTAAATGTACTTTTAATGTATTTGGATAATCATATTTATATTGGTCTATGTTTTTAAATCATCAGCAATGTCAGATAAGTATACAGACTTGTATTAGCAATTGACATTGTTGGCTTTTTTTTGCTGTGTAGAAATGGCTGTCGGACAAGAAATGCGTCGTGTTTACATCTCCAATGCGGCGGATACTCAATGGCCGCTGAGAAAATACTTTCTTCCAAAAGTCGAAACGAAATGGGTCGACATCATTGACTGCCAAGCAACTTGTTGTCGTAGTATTTTTCCCCTCACCGTTTCTCGCTGTGTTTTCTCGTTTTGTTTTGTTCTTGGAAGTTCAAGCAGCTCAGTGGTCAAACCTTTTTTCATTTTCATTGACACTGATTTCTTTTTTGTTCTTCTTGGGCGAAATAGAAATTTCGCTCAAGTGTGGGAAAGAACCTTCGAAAGTGCAAGGTTTTTAATTGGATTTGTATGCTGATAATGTTAATTAATTGCTGTTGGCGGAATTGATAAGGCATTTGACACCTTTTGTGGCGTGTAAATTAAACAATTCGACACTTTAGAGTTCGACGCTCTTTAAATAAAATGTATTAGCTTACAATGTCTGTGACTTCCTTTGAATTTCATTGCGTTTCTATTTTTAGTTGTATTTGACTTATTAATTGACAAGTTTTTAATTGAAGTAAATTGCTTAACAGGTTTGACTGTAAGAACAACTTTTATTGTCTTTTTCTTAATTAGGACAGATTTCCAGTAAACTAAACCTTAAGTTTTTCTTATATGCACTTCTACCCGAGCTATCCAATTTTATGTTGGCTTTTGATTGCTTTATTAATAATTATTTTTTTGGACTAAGCCCCATTTAAAACGAATTGTTTAATTGGCAGACCTCATTTAACTGTATTCAAATAAATTTGTCAAGGCTAATGTTTCCTATTCCAATTTTATGGCCAACCTTTGTAATCAGTGATGCAACTCTTTGATTGATAGTAAATTTATTTCGCGTTCCGTTAACCCCAAACATGCAAATTGTGGCAATCATTTCTTTGTCCACCTATTTGCCCCTTTTGTTATTGTTTTTATTTTAATTTTTCATTTGTGAATATCGTAAATTTCAGGCACGTATAGGCGACCTTTGTCAAGTGTCATCCCATCGCGGGTGTTATGGGTTGTATTTCTTACAACTCTGGGTTTTATTTTGTGTTTTGGGTGTTTCTGGGGCGCACTTGTCACGTATACTATTTGAATTTTTGCGGCTTTTACTCTGTGTTTCGTGAAAGTTATGACCTTAAAAAGCCTGAAGAACGTGTTTCAATTTAAAGCTTTAAATTTCAAATTTTTAAAACTGAATGCACTGCTGCTCTGAAGTAAACAAAATAATTATATGCAGTGAAAAAAAGATTAGAAAATAATTTATTCTTTATTTATTTTTTCAAAATTTTTAGAATTTAAAAACAGTGTTTTGATAAATAAAAAAATTATCACTACTTATTACCGTCCTTGAATGAATAAATTTTAATTAACAATAATAGGCTAAATTCGCTCACTATTTACAATTATTTGGCTTAAGATGCAAGAAGAATGAGATATTTTGGTTTACATTAAAAAAATGCATACCAATTTGACAATATCAAATAACTAACAATAGGATAAATTGGTTAATGACAATGTATTCGTTTTGCTCATTCAAAGTCTTACTGTTCTTCTAACATCCATCTGAATTTTTTCTGTGTGCGTTCGAGTCGATCTTCAAAGAAGTGAAATTTATGCGACTCATTAGCGAAGCATGAGAACTGTTATGTTTCTGGCTTGTGCCCCCGCGATCATCGCTTCATCGGCCCCAGAATGCGAAGACATCCACGTTTGTGCAATGGGGCGTGTCCGATTGCCTCTTGAAAGTCGGCGATATATACAAGTATACGTACTCTAGACCCGACCTACCAGCTGCCATTGTCTGCAGATCTTCTGGCTGTTTTTTTTCAGCCGCTCATAAGGTGGTAGTCATGCAATTTCGTTGCCGGCGATGTGCGGTGGCTTTGTGCGATGTGCGCTCCCTAATTGAGTCAGCATTACATCATCCGCGGAAGATTCGAGGGGGTGATGGTTTGGGTATCGGAGACAATTGCCCGGCGGCTGGGGAAAAAATTAGCATATTCTGCAGTCTCGAATTCCTCATTTCGCACAATTTAAAGTGAATAGGGTTCGGGTGTATGCGAGGTTCCGTGTGATATTGCAGCTGCATCCCATATTGTTCTCTTATAATATATGCCTTGGTACGAGTACTCCTATATCCTGACATAATTGTCCAGGCACAAGCCGTGTATCACGGCTCTGCGGCCAATTCAATTCATTTCCATTGCTAATAATGGCATCGCCGTTTTCTTCCCATCGCACAAGCTCCGCAGATTTGTGCAACAAAGTCGTATATCTGCCCGGTAAATTGACAGGCAAAAAGCCAACAACCTTTTGTGATCCGTCAATCAATCGTACACGGGAAAAAATTCATTACTTTTTTATCTATATGATGTTAGTAAGCTTATCAGCTTTAAAAATCAATATTATGTGATTCATTGGATATCGCATATTGCCGTGTAAAGACGCCTCTGTAGAAAGTGGCCTGTGGTGGCCGTATCATTGCAACAAGCCCGGGGATTCGAATTGCAACTCTTGCGGTTGGCTAGCCCAGTTCCAACA